CCAGTGTGGATTCCCGTTCACAACTTCGGTATGGAAATGATGTAAGATCACTTCCTCTAAATGCTGCAATGCGTAAATTGAGGAATGCCCTTAAACAACTGCAACCACCACTTGGGTTGCACTAGTTTATATCTGAAGTCCCATAGGGACTCCTGATCCTGTTTGGCTCTGGCAGCATTGAGTGCCAAGCAGGTTGCTGACCCCAGCACTACAGGTTGTATTAGTGCTGCAATGTAAGCATTGTAGTTTCTCTAAAACTGCAATGATTTACATTGCGGGACTAAGGGAGACAGGGAAAGTGCATCCAGAACACTTCAATGAGCTTAAGTGGCCTGGGTGCCTATAGTGTCCCTTTAACGTTCCTACTTACCAAAATTGATAAGTATAATGCCAGGAAAAGAGGCAAGAGTTGGACAGGAGGACATGCCAATGATGTAATTTGTGTTACAGGCAATGGTCTCAACTGTAAAAGGGGAGTGTATTTGTACTTTGTAGGGGTGCCAGGCAGTCCTGAAGAGCAGCTAACCAGGGCAGTCCATATGCAGAGCCAGAATAGGAATACCAGAAACAAAATACACATGACCGAAACCCAAAATCGACACGGTTCTGCTGAAAATGTGACAAGTGGCAAGGAATTAACATTCCTCCCAATTTACTACCAGTGACACTTACAATGCCCTCTGTTTGTATCAGCTGTGTAAATAAACCTATGCCTGCATTGGGTCAAATAAATAAAAGCAATTTCAGGGTCAAAATGCCAAAAACAGTGTAATAAGCTGGTACATCTCATTTGTTTATTTAGTGAATCATCCCAGCATTTTGCATTATTGTGCTTTATAAATAGGGTCTAATATGTCTATAATATCCAATTATTAAATATTACAATGAATGCTCAAATACCTGATGCATGCCCAGCTATATATTTATATATATAGAAGCAGAGAGCGAGAGTGTGTGTATATGTATATCTATATATATACACACACACACACACACACACAGTTTATATGTATACACATGGATTGTTTTCATACCCACACACAGTACATTACTGATATCCATACTGTCCTCAATGTTAATCCCAATGTTAAGATGTAAACAGTGGCAGTGTGATGGACATTACCCTGTATAGAAACATGCACATGCTGACATACAGTATTTGAGGCCCTGTTGCCAGGCTGCACTTACCTCAAATGATGTCATATGTCCCCAGCCCTGCGGTTGGGTGACGTCACGGTGCTGCTGCAGCGCCCGCCGTTTCCCAGGCAGGCCCGGGCGGAGGAGCAGGGTGAGCCGGGGCTGTCATGCCGCCTCCCCACATCCCCGGTTCACTCCTCGGTCCCGGCCGTCCCAACCGACACGGAACACCCCTGTGAAGGGAAGTGGTATTGCCCGCACTTCACTGCTGTCAACCAAAGTCTGGCCGCGCCTACTGGAGAGGAGGGGGAGAGGAGGAGCATGAGCCGAGTTCCCCTATACCGATAGGTGGTACGGCTCACTTCCTTCTGACGAGCTCCGTGAGTTTGAAGTACCCACTGAATTATAGGGGTAGTGGAGAGCACTTCCCGGTGTCAGTGGAATTGAACCACTGTTGCTTGCAGTAGGAAATATGAGAGCTAATACATTTTAATTGAGTAAATTACAAATACTACACATATACTTATTTTATTTCATCTTATACGAATTCCAGGGGGGGGGAGGTGTATGTATGTGAGCAGTTTTGATCTGTGATAAGGTTCTACAGTAGGAACAATCAGCAGGAACATTCCATTTGGTGTCCATGGTGATTGTTCCAGTTTTAGCATTTTTCCCACATAATGACGTCACCCCACAGCAGCCAGGCTGTTCATTGAGATAGGTGATGGTTATTGAACCCTAGAGGAGATTATTATCTAGCTACATTTTGATTATGTTACATAGAGTTGCACTGCTAAATTAATAGGAAAGTATATAAATGCACAAATTATTTATTTGTACATAGGATTAAAATTGTAAATAAAAACAAAAGGCATTGAAGACTGCAAAACGTTCTGAATTTTTCATTTGTTGGATCAGACTGTACCCACAAATGCCAAATTAGAGAGAAAATCACCCGCTGGTACTGTGGTAAAATTAGCAAGTAACTAAAATGTGTTCTAGCCTCATGGACAAGTTCTCCATACAGCCCAATCCTCCTCCGCTGACAATCCCACTTGCTTTAGAGGGACATGTCAGTGAGGTCAAGCTGTGGGCAAAACATGGGTGGCATGGTAGGGGCCATGCTGCCACTGGCTGTCAATGTTAAGGACAGATGCTAAACATGCACAGGATTGACATTAGCCAACCAGAACTCTTGTTCAGAGCTGGCTAAGGATGCCCTAGTGACACTGACGGAAGTGTACTAACACCTCCTGCAGCAAAGGGGTGAAAACATAGCGAAACGCTGTACAGACATCAGGCACCATGACTACTTCAAATCACTGAAGTGGTCAAGGTGCTTGGAGTGGTCCTTTAATACTGCTTTATCAGTCTTTTCTTCTCCCATCTCCTTTAAAAGGAGACTTCCTTATTTTCTTAACATATGCCTATAGTAAACCAATATGTGTTTCGATGTCTAGCAAATTGCAGTCACAATTTTTACATTTAATATTTTACAGTGCGCTGCTCCAACATTGAACTCATCTCCCTGTCAATCGTGGTTATATCTGGCTTTTTCTGTCATTGAACAGAATTTGTGCAGTTCATGAAAAAAACATTGGAGGTTGTGTTGGAAAATGTATTTTTAATAGTTTTTACAACTGTGCTGGTTTCGAACCACATATATCCGTTTGTTTTTTTATGTATAAAATGGTTACGCCAACCATTTATAACATTGAAATCCATCTGGAGTTATTAACAGTTTAATTATGCTTTTATGAAGAAGTGGGTTTTGTTTTTTTAAGAAGTGGGTTTTTAATGATTTTTTTTTTTTGAAGGAGTAGAGACTAGGTGAGCATCTAACGGAAGAGGGAAGTGAGTTCCACTGGAACGGTGAAGCCCTCGAGAGATCTTGAAAGATAAGTGATGGAAGACTAACAAAGATGAAACATATACCACAAAATAAGGTGCAATTGGAAAATGTGCCAAAAAAAGTTTTTATACACAACCTCCAATATTTAAATTTCTCCTCTTTAACCCCTTAAGGACACATGACATGTTTGACATGTCATGATTCCCTTTTATTCCAGAAGTTTGATCCTTAAGGGGTTAAAGAATTTGTGTCCTGATTGAAATGGATTGCTTTGTTAGTTTGCTAAGCATTTAATATAATGACTGATATTTTGGGGTTTTTACCGATTTAGGAAATGTTTATTCTTTAATTTTAAATATTACCTTAGACCCTCTAATCCATAACATCTCAGGACCCTAGTTTATTACAGGGTTTATTATGTTTTATCATGCCAGCATGGAGCCTACCACCAAAGTTTCTAACCTTCATTTTAATTCTGTGTAATGTTCTTAAAGTGGACCTGTAATTCGAAAAAAGGTGTGGATGAAAGGGTCATTCTCCAGAAGGAATAAAATGTAATTATGCATTTTAATAGGAAAAAAAAAGCATGTGAGAAAACCCTAACTAAACGTTTTTACCAGTAAAGGGTGGTGGACAGAGGTCAGAGCAATACAAGGAAATTTATAATAATAAAAAAAAAAAGTAGTTTATATTCGGGACTATAGGATCTCTTTAATGCTAACATAAAACGTTTTTTTTCTCTTATTCGGCTATTTTTGCCTAAATTTTGAAATTCTAAGTAATTCTCACTTACCAGAATAATCATGTGAATACATTTGGTGATGCCATATGAACCTACCTAAACAGCCATATACAATTTTTTTTTTTATAGGTAGTAAAATGTTTAAATATAAAAGTAAAATTATATTTAATAGCACACTATTCACTTCTGCTGTATAAAATTAAATCATTTAATTGTTGAAGGACAGAGAGTTAAAAGGACACCTATCTCTTTTTTGGAATTTATTGGATTGAACACCTATAACATGCGTTTATTTTTCATGCTTCATTTTCTTTAACATTTATATGAAAGATTTAGCAAACCACAACACAATCCAGTTCAATACAGACACAGTGAGGGCAAACACTGCAAATTAGTAGGACAAAAAACAAAACAAAAACTAGTTTAATTTCTTCTATATACTTGCTCTGCCGATTGCTAAGATGAAGGTACGTAGTTACAGGACAAAAAGATGTGAGCTTACATTTAATTTTCCTAGGAGGTGACAGATTCCACTTAACATTTCCTTAACTGTGTACCAGTAGGAACATTTTTTATTTACTTGTAAAATTTACTACCAAATGCCATTACACTCTGGACTTACATTGTGTACTTGAATATCCAGTGGGATACAAATCTCATAAGTTGGAACAGTCTATGTTCACTTGCTGTGTTATTTAACTAGCACAATGGTGAGATAATTATAGTGTTACCAATATCAATATATTGTGGCCCAAAGGTCAAGCAGCAGAGTGTCTTTCCTCTCACCCCTGTTTCTGTTCTCAATCCTTAGGACTGACCTGATATGACCGCCATTTATTGTCTCATCAATTATTGCAGCATAGTGGATACAGTGTAACTGTTGCCATCTTGTGGTCATTTTTGTACATTAAGTATTTTATAACTAAATCTAAGTGTGAACCTAAAAATCACTGGACTGTAACAGTTTTAGGCCAAAATTCTCAAGTAGGAAAAATTCTCAAACGCTGTAGCACTTATGAATAACACAATTTATAAAAGTTGTTTCACAATCTGTTAGCACATACTAGTGAACCAAAAATCAAATTGCAAAATCGAGGCTATTGTATTTGGAGAATATTTCAAATCAGATATTTTAGCTTACATCTTTCATTTCGGTTTACAATTTTCCACTACTCTCTAATTAGTGAACAAAACTAAGCCAAGTTTGACTAAAATTTGAAATTCCACGGTTTGGTGTATAATCCTTTAACAAGCTGCGGTGCTTCTTGGTGTTTTTTTAATTAGAGAAAAATAAGGGCAACCATTAATGTAGGGATACTGGAGAATAAGTATGCAGTCCAACTTTAAATTTAAATCACTTTATTTTTCACTTAACAGGCATTATCAGATTGCATGTAACACATAGTAAAAATATATTACAAAATATTACATGTAACAAATGTCATTTATGTTCTCCTGAGTATATAAAGGCACACAGAGAATTTCAAGCCCTTGTAATAACAGAGAGCACAAGCAATAGGCACTTTTAAGAAGGCACTTATACATATATACATGTTCTTGTACAGGTGATTACAGAAGGCTGTAACACTGCCAACTATATCTCTCACCAGAAAAAAAATAAATATAACCTAGATCCTAGGTTTTCAGTTACTAGGCATTTAGCGGTTTACCAACTACAAATCCCTTGGATCTTTGCCACTGAAAAGAAAAGCAAACCTTTATTGAAGTTGTAAGTTACTGCAAGCAATACGATGATATCAATGTTAATTGGTTAAATGAACACTATAGTCACCTAAATTACTTTAGCTAAATAAAGCAGTTTTAGTGTATAGATCATTCCCCTGCAATTTCACTGCTCAATTCACTGTCATTTAGGAGTTAAATCACTTTGTTTCTGTTTATGCAGCCCTAGCCACACCTCCCCTGGCTATGATTGACAGAGCCTGCATGAAAAAAAACAAAAAACTGGTTTCACTTTCAAACAGATGTAATTTACCTTAAATAATTGTATCTCCATCTCTAAATTGAACTTTAATCACATACAGGAGGCTCTTGCAGGGTCTAGCAAGCTATTAACATAGCAGGGGATAAGAAAATCTTAATTAAACAGAACTTGCAATAAAGAAAGCCTAAATAGGGCTCTCTTTACAGGAAGTGTTTATGGAAGGCTGTGCAAGTCACATGCAGGGAGGTGTGACTAGGGTTCATAAACAAAGGGATTTAACTCCTAAATGGCAGATGATTGAGCAGTGAGGCTGCAGGGGCATGTTCTATACACCAAAACTGCTTCATTAAGCTAAAGTTGTTCAGGTGACTATAGTGTCCCTTTAAATTTTATGGGTTTTCTTTCCCCTTTTTTTTTAAATACTAGGTTTGAAAATAGTTATTATTCAGTGCACATGCTTGACACATCTTAAATAGCCTTCTCCTTTCAGCACAGCAATCAACAGTTTGCAATTAGTTTAAAAATATATATATTTTGTATTTATCTGGCATTCAAGGAGGTCAGAAGCATGCTAGAAATCTTTATACAACAGAGAAAATAGAAGCACAGATCTATTAGTACATATATCTTTACAGCAGGTAACGGTTCAGTTAAGGCATAACAGAAATGCGGTTTGCCTAAGAACCTGTCTTAGATGGGTTAAAAACCTCCTGAACATTTTGAAAACTGTAAACACTCCTCTGACCACTAGGCCTGCCCCATGCCTCTCAACAAACAGAACTGTTCCAATTCCTTGACTGAAAACAGACTAGTATACTGACAATGTTATTCATTAACAAAAAGTGGCATAGTGATTTTCAAAATTTAGGTCAAAACAGCCAATCTATAAATCACTTTTCGAATGTGTCCATTTTGGCTAAAACTTGAAATACACTTTGAAATCCTGACAGCTTACACTATAGTCAATAACCTGACTGGTAAAGGTTAAAATGTGTATTCCCCCTTTTTTCCCCATGTAAAAAAAAAACTCTGTATTCCTATCCAGACCCTTATATTCGAATTGCTTTTCTTACTATATTGAGATTTTGTTGTATTTCTATTAAAGGGATGGATTACTTTCTGTTCTTGCAGAAAAATGTACTTCTGACAAAAAAATGGAAACATTTTAAAGTGTAGTGATAAATGTAAATTCTTATTAGAGTAGGTCTTACTGTACTAGAATATAGAAAACACATTCAAATTTGCCCCCGGCACCAAAAACCCCCCCAAAAAACTATTGTATACTGTGCGGTGTAATTAAAATAATAAATCTCAGCACAGAAAGTAGATGTAGGTTTCAAGATTCAGACCCATTGAAGCACTGAGGAAGGCACACAAAGGTACCGGACAGCACTTTGCTTCCTAAAAAATGGAAAATACTAAATTTAAATAAGTATGTGATAAACAAATAGAAAATTGTACAGTTATTTACAAGCATGAAGTTGACCTACAAATAAAGACCAATTTTTAAAGACCATGACATCAAACATAATTACAATTTATGCATTTTAAAAAACAGGAGGAAAAAATTACAAGTGGATATATTTCTGATCATAAAGCACATGCTTTTCCTTTTCTCTGCAGTACTTACAATCTGCATTGATCTTGCGTGCAATTTCCTTACTATTTAGAGTCCAACGTATATTGCATATTAAATTGAAGTCCGATTACCATTTTGCATCTTAACAGACTTGATCAACAATGCTAGGAGAGAACACTAAATAAGGGCAGACAAAAGTTCCAGAGATATAATTTGAAGATCCCACATTTAGTTGAATTCTCTGTCAGATAGTACCAAAGGGGCAATAAGAGTCCACAAGTAAAGAAGGAGTCCAACCCAACTGGAGGCGATCTTCACCCACACTGCTGACCAAGGACTGGTCAATGGTTGACCAGACTGGCCAGGCCTGAAAAAAAAAAAAGAAAAAAAATGTGTATATTTACTCATTAACAAGTATATTTCAGCCAAGTCAGTCCTTCAGGAATTAAACAGTTTAACATTTTGCTTATAGATAAGCAAAGACTCATCAAAAGAATCCCTGACCTCGGCAAGTATTCTGACTATTCTTGGATATGTTAAGTCCGGCCATTCTAAGGTCCGGTTATAAGTTATCCTTAGTCCTAGGTGTGATATTATTCTGCGTGCTGGATCCCTTAGTAATCCTGACACAGCCTTTCATACTCGTTTTCACTGGTTAAAGGACCACTATAGGCGCCCAGACCACTTCAGCTTAACAAGTATGTTTTCCTGGCACTATAGTGGTCCTTTAAATGGACTTCTGCTTGTGTCCCTTGTGCCCTTTTTGATTTCAATTAGAAAATCCGATTTCACGTACGATGTAACCCCACATATATAAAAAATAAAGGTAATGCATCTCAAAAAACTGCATTAAAATAGAAATTGCTTTTTTTGCACCACACACCATTTAAAGGTACACTGTAACTGCGTCATCTCATAAGAGGTTATAGTGTCCCCTGTTGGTGTTCTTCCATTCAGTGGTAACCCCTTAACGCTATTTGGACATTCTATGCTGTCTTACATGAAGTGGTCTCTAAAGTCTGTAAGGTGCAGGGCCGTCTTTAACAAGGGGCAGCTTGTAAAAATTCCCCCAGACCGGGCCCCTTTCACTTTGTTCTACCGGCCTTCTGGGAGGAAGTAAGTTCAGGACAGGTCACTTCCTCCCAACTGAAAGAGTGCTGTGTAGATAAGAGGAGAAGGCTCCACATGCAGAGCAGGTGAGGAGCTGAGGAAGCCTGGTGCCTCAGACTCCCATCAGCCTAGGTCAGCCAGCTCCCACTGGACCCCAGGGAAGCCACCCTTCTGCATCAAAAGTAAGTAGGGTGGCTAAAGTATGTTAATTGTAATTTGTATATGTATGTACCTGTTTATATGAGTTTACACATATATGTGTGTATATGTCAGGCACCTGTGTGCCTATGTCTGTGTATGTGCACCTGTGTGTCAGAGTGTATGTGTACTTTTGTATCAATGTGTACCTGTGTGTCAGAGTGTATATGTACCCGTTGTATGTGCACCTATTTGTGTATGTATTTATGTACCTGTTTGTGTATGTTTACCCGTGTGTCTGTGTATATGTTTACCTGTGTGTCTGTGTGTGAATAACTGTGTGTGTGGCAGTGCATACACCCATGCATTCCAATGCCAACACTGAACTTGCATTCCAACGCCAACACTACACACAAATACACCCCTGTCACCCCAACCCCCCCACACATACACACACACACACACAGTCATCCCAAAACACATACTGTCACTTTTTTCTCTCTGCCACACTCACCTCCCATTGCTCTGCCACACTCACTCTATCACATTAACCCCTCCAATTCGGTCATATTCATCTCCTCAACCACGCCACACTCACTCTGTAACATAAAGCTCACCTAATCGTATCACACTCGCTCACCTCCTCTCGCCCTGTCACACTCCTTCCTCCAACCATGTCACGACCACCCCTATCCCTTTGACACTCACTCTGACACACTCACCGCCCAACCCTGTCTCATTCACCTCTCTGGCCCTGTCACACTCACCTTTCCACAGTTACCCCGTTTCCCTCCCTGTCAGTGTCACCCCCTGAAAACAATCATACACACAGTCATGAAACACAGCTGCACCATAAACAATGCACAAGAGCCACAGGCAGCCCCCCAATACACAAAATACATTGCAAACAGTTACCCCACACACATATGGCCCCAGACACAAACATACACATGGTCACGGAGACATAAATTTCAAAACAAAGATACTCACTCTCAGACACAGTGACTGTGATAGTTATTAATGGGCAAAGGGGGCTAGGGAGCCCAAGCAAATGCTTGCCCAGGGTCCAATCTATATTAAGACGGTGCTGGTAAGGTGGCATAGAACGCCCTGCATAATTGGTGTGTGCAGTGTTATAACTCACCAGGGAACCGCAGGTATCAATAAATACCTGAACTCCCCTCTGTCTACTGCGGAACCAGACTTATAGATGAGCGGTTTGCAGCACTGAAAGCTAGCACCGCAAACTGCTCTTTAAATAATCATTTACATGTCTATTTAAATGATTGCATGGTGAGCAGGGCTAAATCCCTACTTACAGAACTAACCCTAGGTATCAATGCATACTTTGGGCTCTCCTTAATGTGCTGGGGACAAGTTTTGTGACTTTTTGATGAGCTGCTTGCAGGACGGGAAAGCAGCACTGCAGGTGGCTTTTTAAATAAGCTTAGAATTAATATAGAGAGATTGTGGTGTGGCCATTTTTAGTAGACCCAGACTGAGGGAAGTCAGCACTGCATAAAACCACGCCTAAGCGATCACACTGTTTTTAGTAGGGTACAGGCTGCTCAGGGGAGTCCCTCCAGATTCTGAATAAACCCCGGCATGGACTCCCAGCCAATATGGGGATAGCTTCCCAGCACAGATCTCTATATAATCTGCTTGGAACCAAGCTCACTCAGAATTGCATTTAGTGTAATTCTGAAAATGGCAAGTAGATGATGGCAACATACCACTATCTACTGTGTTAAATATAGTTAAACATTAGCAGTGGGTTACCTTAGGGTAGGGGTTAGTGAGGGTTAGGTTTAAGGTCACACTTCGTGTTGGGGTAGGGTTAGGCTAAGGCAAAGATTAATGTTTTTCAGTTCAAGATAGTGTAGGGTTTTAGTTAAAGGAACACCATAGGGTCAGAAACACAAACTTCCTCATTGCCCCCCTAAATATAGCAAAATCTTACCTTTAATTGCAGTCTGCTGCTGCTGACTCTGCCCCTGGTCTGCCTGCTTGGCTTACATCGTCAGAAGTTGTATTCTGAGCCAATCACAATGCCAATCAGGGTCAGAGCCAGCACAAGCCAAACACAGCCATTGCCAATCAGCATCTCCTCATACATTTAATCAATGCATCTCTATGAGGAAAGTTCAGTGTCTCCACGCAGAGGGTGAAGACACTGAATGACAGTGCTGCACACTGTGTAACACTGTCAGGAAGCACCTCTAGCACCCATCTAAGGAGTGGCCAGTGGAGGAATCTCTAGGCTGTAATGTAAACATTGGATTTTCTCTGAAAAGACCATGTTTACTGCAAAAGGCCTGAAGAAAATGATTCTACTCACCATAACAAATACAATAAGCTGTAGTTGTTTGGGTGACTATAGTGTCCCTTTAAGTGTAAGTTTATGATAGACATACAACTGGAGTTAGTGTAAGCATTAGGCAAGGGGCACTAGTGTGGAGGTTGGTATTGCATTAAATATCAAAAATTAATTTAGAACCTCAACATATTAAAGGGACACTATAGTCACCAGAACAACTACAGTTTATTGAATTTGTTCTGGTGAGTAGAATCATTGCCGTCAGGCTTTTTTATTCAGAGAAAATACAGTGTCTACATTACAGCCTAGTGATAACTCCACTGGCCACTCCTTAGATGGCTGTTAGAGATCCTGGGTCATGGCTACCTAAAATGCATCCAAACATTCAGTATCTCCTCCCTCTGCATGCAGACACTGGACTTTCCTCATAGAGATTGATTCAAGTCATCTCTATGAGGAGATGCTGATTGGCCAGGCTGTGTTTGAATCATGCTGGCTCTGCCCCTGATCTGCCTCCTTGTCAGTCTCAGCCAATCCTATGGGGAAGCACTGTGATTGGATCAGGCTACCACTTCTGATGATGTCAGCAGACTGCTTGTTTTTCTGAGTTGCATGCAGAGTTAAAGCTTGAGGCTTGAATACAGTAAGATTGTTACTATATTTATGGAGGCATGAGGGGCTCAGGGAGACTAGATGGTGGTTTTAACACTATAGGGTCAGGAACAGTGGCGTACTAAGGGGGGGGCGGTGGGGGCGGTCCGCCCCGGGTGCCAGCCGGGTGGGGGGTGCCATGGCCAGCCCCCCGCCCCCCCCATGCTGCAGCCGCCCGAGCGCTCTGTGAAGAGCCTCAGGCGGCTGCAACGTGAAAAAATTAGGCTTTGTGTTTTTTTCCCCTCCATTTTTAAAATTTTATTCACACGTAATCGTGTGTTAGATATAAATATATGATGTTAAATGAAAGCCCTTTCTATCCTTTAAGAAATGATTTAGAGTATGTATGGGAGAAGAATAAAGGTAATCGGTACTAGCGCTTTAGAAAAAGGTATTATTTATACAATGAATGGGGTATTCCAGAGACAAAAAAATGATAAATAGCAAGCTAAACACCAAAATGTAACTTTTCCAAAATGCCACAACAAGAAGTGGAGAAAAAAAGTGTAGCGCTATATACAAGGAGCTATATAACCTAGCTCCGGTGTGGATGTGTTGTTTTATCTTGGATCCTGGTTTCACAAGCCTGCTTATACAGCAAGAGGGAGTGCAGTCCCAAACTGCATAACACTCTACCATAGAGCCATAGGGGCTCCATGTTTGTAAGTACACAATTGGCACCAGAGTTTTTACTACTATTTGAAACTGTGCTACTCTATTTCTCGTTTTGTATGCTTCCCTTAGGAGTGGACATTTATTCCCTATAGGGGTGGGTCGCCTCAACGGACCTAGAGGCTATCCACACCGCAGCTAGGTTATATAGCTCCTTGTTTGTGAGTGTTTTGTACATATACCTTATTTTCATATATCTTCTGTTCTATACAATTCTGCACTATGTTATATTAATATTTCTAGGCACCCGGAGTACCACAAAATTTAATAATACCTTGTTTCCCATCTTTAACCCCTTAGTGACCAGGCAGTTTTTCAATTTTCTTACAGTTAAGGACCAGGGCTCTTTTTACATTTCTGCGGTGTTTGTGTTTAGCTGTAATTTTCCTCTAACTCATTTACTGTACCCACACATATTAGATACAATTTTTCTCGCCATTGAATGGTCTTTCTAAAGATACCATTATTTTCATCATATCATAACTTACTAGGAAGGAAAAAAAAAAGTAAAATATGATGAAAAAATGTAAAACAAAAACAAAAACAAAACACTTTTTCGAGCTTTAGGCATGGATTCTCAGCTCCTCTTAGGTGCTACTGCCAAAGAACACCCCAATATGTGTTCAGCAACATCTCTTGAGTACAGTGATACCAAACCTATTTTTTACGTTGTTTGGGGGGTGCAAAGCCTAACGTCTGACACAAGTTTTTCAAATTTTACATATCTTCTTTGCCTATTTTCTTTTTGGGAGCCTTTTCAGATATCACAATTTATTTTCTTGCCATGAGCGTGCATATATTTGAAAAGTTGACACCCCTCGGTATTGTATATGGAGTGTTTTGATGCCTTTGATGCAATCATTTTAGTCAAAAAACTGTGTTGTGGTAATTTTAAAATTTTCATTTTTACACACACATTGCTTTTTTACTGTGATTTAGGAGAGCCTGTTGTTGGTTATTGCAAGAAAACACTCCAGGTTGTTTTCTGCAAGGCCTCCTTAGTATACCCATGCATAGGGTAAACTGAACAAAAGAATAACTGAACAGCAAATATAAAAAAAAAATGGACCAGTGTGTGGCATCGTTTGAAGCAGTCCCCAATGCAGAGTCCAGGCTGTCCAGGCCAATCAGGACAGTGACATACAGTATCTTTTCTCTGCCCCCTCTTAAAACAGACTCTGCATCTTTTTTGGGGATTCTGCTTTGCCGCAGTAGGGGGAATTTTAAAAATAAAATGTGTAGCCACCAACTCTGCTCTCTCCCATCACCGCCCTGGGAGCAGGTGCATCACGGTACAAAATCCCCGAAATGATCTGAAGCTTAAAGTGTAAAAAACTCAGTTGCATCCCGGGGTTTGTTTTTTTGAACAACAAAAAAGCGTTGTGGGTTGCAATCTGCATTAGGTAGATTGCAACCTTTTTGTACCAGGCCCTTCTCTTGTGTATAATTAGGTAGGGCTGCAGCAGCTGATCTGCCAGATCAACCCCACCCATATGCCAGTTATAGGCCTTAATGCACACTGGCTTCCTTGTGCTCTCAGCTCTGCCACGTACAGAGACCTCCACAGTCCCCTCAGTGTGGATGGTGGTAAGAAGGTACACATCCTTCTTGTCTCTGTACTAAACTGCCAACAGCTCCTCTTGGCGCAAAGCTGAGGTCTCCCCCCTTCATAGCCGGGTGCGTGCAAGTTGTCCTGGGAAACCTGTGCTGTTCTTTTTGATTGTACCGCAAGCTACTGTATTGAAACAGTACAGTAGCTTCAACAAAGGGACACTTGTATAAAAATTGTCAGTATACAAGTGGTACCCTTTGTTCATCAGGGGGAATATCAGGTCCCAGACAATCTTGCCACTGGTTCCCATATGATCGGCATATAAATTAGTTTGGGCGACAATGTTCCCCAATATATTATCGCCCAGAAACACCTCCATAAACAGCTGAGGGCTATATCCTGCGACATCCAAATTGATGCCAGTCCAGGATTTGCAGTAAAGGATGGGGATATCTGGATTTTGGCGATGAGGCACTACCCACTCCTCAGAAGCTCTGACAGCTGGAGCAGCACGTCTCCTTCCAGCAGGGGGACTAGCAGGCACAGATACAACATTACTAGATACATCACTAGCAGCAGACACTGTATCTAGTGATAATGTATCTGAGCACCTGGCAGGGTCAAAATCAGGGTCGGAGTCTGACAGACGCGTCAGACTCTAGTGCAAGGATGGCATACGCCTGCTCATCGCTATATGTCACAGGCATCTGTGTTCCCTGTGACATGATCACAATCACTTTTCTTAGTGATCTGTCAATTTTTTTTTTTCAAAATTTAACCCCTAAAAATAAATGCACAGGCAGCAAAATAATGCTGCTGTGCAAGAGCCTGTGATCTATACAGTGATCATTGGTAGGACAGGGGTTAATAGCTCTGAAAAGAGCTTTTGGGTCTCACAAAAAAAAAAAATTATGAACCCCTAAAAAAATGCAGTGATTATAGTTATTTTGTTAATGGCTCTGAAAAGAGCCTTTGGGTCTCAAGATTTTACAAATCCCTACCTAAATCTCTCTAGCTAAAAACACAGCTCTCTCCCCCTAGCTCACTAAAACACAAGTGAAGAGAGGGAGATCCACACTGATCAGACAAATGGGGAACATACCTGGAATAAAATTGTTATTGGGGCAAGCTGTAATTAGATGACCCTAGCCTTTAGAAAGGCAGCGCCATCTTGGGAGCCACATGGCTGGGGGAGGGGGATATATATATATATATATATATATATATATATATCTATATCTATCTATCATATAATTTATCATATCTTCGCCGAATGCCTCGGCCCCTCGAGGCACTCAGCACATGCAGAGCATCAGAAGCCTGCCCGATGGCTTCCGATGCTCTGCTTAACTGCCGGGCGCCACGTGGAGCAACCCGGAAGTGATCGCTCCCCCCGGTGCTCTCCGGGTGCCCGGCAGAAATGAACATTATTGCACAATGCCTCAACATTGAGGCATCGCTGCAATACTATCAGAGTCGCTTAGAGCACTCAAAATAGCAGAGGACGTATCAGGTACGTCCGAGGTCCTTAAGGACCGTTTTTTCGTAGGACGTATCTGATACGTCCGCGGTCGGGAAGGGGTTTAAAGTAAACCTTACCTTCTTATAAGCGCTACACTTTTTTTCTCTATAATATGTATGGGGCATTTGAAGAGAAACCCTTAAATTGCGGTGTAACAAACCTATATATCAAATTTGTTTTTTGGTTTAGAATGTGGACAATTTTATCATTTAGTATTGTATCTATGCGCACTTCACCATATACCGTACTTTAAATAATAATACTATTAGGGATTCTCTGTATGTACAGTAACCTCCCGATGCAGGATTGGCTTCATCAGTCTTGAAAATCTTAGCCAGGGAGGTGAAAGCTCACCTTTCAAACCCGCACAGGTGTGGGCACCTGAATAGTTTGGGGTACACTGTAGATACTATTTATTTATATTTTTATTTTATTTTTTAAATAGATGCACCATATGCTTTTCAATGGGGAAATAACTGATGGTGGATGTCCATCGTCGGTTACCAGACCAAAAATCCGTTAGCAGCCATGAAGAGCCCAGGCAGACTTAGTGCTGCAATGTAAACAATGCAATTTCTCTGGAACTGTAATTTTACTGCAGCACTAAGTGCAATAAAGACACTGCACCCAGTCCCTTTAAAACTAAAGAGCCACTGCACACAAACCACGTGCAGTTGGGGACATTTAGATCTCCTGGGAATGGCATCTATTTCTTTTGTGGATTTTTGGAATCCTAGATGTGTTTTGCAGCATTTACAAAGCTTCTTCTTTTCTTTATACCCATATTTCTTCTTTTCTTGCTTTGATCATATTTTCATATCAAACTAATTATTTAACCAGAAAGAACACATTTTAGCACGTTTTCAAGTATAGCCCAAGTTAGAGATCATTATAACATTTCAGTTACTTTTACAATTGTATTTTCTCCCCGAAGCCTTTTTCGGGATGCACATTATGCCTATAGGTGGAGCTATAGTAAACTCATGGGTTTTCTTGCATAGTACCGTGTTTCTCCGAAAATAAGACCGGGTCTTATATTAATTTTAGTCACAAAAAACACACTAGGGCTTATTTTCAGGGTAGGGCTTAGAGACAGTCTGTCAGCTGGTGTCTGCGCTGTGTAACCCCCCCAGAGACCCTCACCTCCCCCTCCCTGTAATATTCTCCCCTCCCTCCCTCCCTGTAATACTATCCCCCTCCCTGTAATACTCTCCCCCCCCTCCCTGTAATACTCTCCCCCCTCCCTCCCTGTAATACTCTCCCCCCCCCTCCCTCCCTGTAATATTCTCCCCCCCTCCCTCCCTCCCTGTAATACTCTCCCCCTCCCTCCCTGTAATACTCCCCTTTCCTCCAGCCAATACTCTCCCCCCCCTCTCTCCCTGTAATATTCTCCCCCCTCTCTCTCCCTCCTGTATTCTCTCCTCCCCTCCCTGTAATATTCTCCCTCCCTCCCTGTAATATTCTCCCCCCCCTCCCTCTCCCTCCCTGTAATATTCTCCCCCCTCCCTGTAATACTCTCCCCCCCTCCTCCCTCCTGTAATATACTGTAATACTCCCCCCTCCCCCCTCCAATCTTCTCCTCACCTGCTCTTCCCTGTAGCGTGGCCGAGCTCCTCTCCGGTCTGCAACCCGGCCGGACTGACAGGAAGTGCACACCCAGTGTGCACTTCCTGTCAGTCCGGCCGGGTCGCGGACCAGAGAGGAGCTCGGCCACGCTACAGGGAAGGGGAGGTGAGGCAGTGCGGCAGCCGTCTGAGAGCTCTCTATAGAGCGCTCAGTCGGCTGTGGCATTTAAAGGGCCGGCAGCTGCTGGCCCTGCCTAGGTCTTATTTTCGGGGTAGGGCTTATATTGCAGCCCACCCCGATAATCCAGCTAGGGCTTATTTTCGGGGTAGGGTGTATTTTCGGGAAAACAGGGTATGTTGCAGGAGGTAAAAGGCCACAGGAGGAGGTTATCTTCTCCTTTTGTATCAGTATGTCTAATTATATATCCCCACACACATCTTTATGATTACCAATGTTACTTTGGCATATACTGTCAAGCACTCTAGATAAACTGTTAAATAAAAAATAAAAATTTATTTTATTATGCCCTTCACTCACTGTATTTTGCACTTTGGACTTGGGTGCTATGTAAAGAATTGGCAGCATTTTTTTATTTTTAATACTACACCATGTTCCCAATTACTGAAACGTTTTTGTAGACCCACTCATTTGTTTCATCTTTATTCAATCCTTTTACCATAGTTTTTCAAAGTAATCAGTAAAAATATCCACTTTCACCAACTATAAAATGTGACTGGTTGTTAGTTTATATCAGAGAGGAATACTAATTAACAACTGGACAAAATGATTTAGGTTCTAAATGATTTGAAATACACCTCACATGTAAATTAAAATGACTAGTCTGAGGAGTTTTATTGGAAATAAAGGGGTTTTTTTTGTTTTTTTTTTTAGTATAATTGTTCCTTTTCATAATGTGTAAAAAAAACCTATATAAACATAGTCTCATAATATGTGGTATAACAGAAGGGAGAACCCCAATAGGTAAACCACAGAAAGGCAGCTAAAGGCGGTAATTATGGAAGCTTGTCTCGGCAGAGCCTTCTTCACGTATTGTTCCTGTATATCAGACATGTTGTTAGAATGGTCTGTCTTGTTTGCCTGTTGTACAGCACTGTAGAATATGTTGACACTATAAAAGTAATTGTATCTGAGCAGAGTAATGTTAATTTCTCTCCCTCCACCCCCAAACAAAAACATGTGTTATTGCTGAAGTATAAATTGTCAGGTATTAAAAATGAATACTAAGTCATTATTCAATAATCTGTATTTCCAGACTAACTATTTTGGCCTAAAACTTCAAATTTGCTTTGAATTCCTGACAAATTAGACTTCAGTGAATAAACCTTAACAGTGGTGGCTTCTCCATCAAACCGCTACCTGATGTACTAATTGCATACTGCAATCTGTATTCTGTATGCAGTATATGTATACACCAACAAAATACAATATGCTGGGTACTCACAGATACCAGTTGGTTAGGGTCATCATAATGTATAGAGAGGCAATGAAAAGGCAAAAATGAAAAAAGCTGTAACTGTACGACACAGAATCCTCTTCATTATCATATGCTCTGTGCATCCCATCTTCAGTGATGGGAACCCCACTTTCTCCAGAGCCGTCTTCAGTCTGCATCAGCTTGTTGACTTGGGTGTTGTTTGAAGAGCGCAGGCTAGAACAGAAATGACAGAGTCATAAATGGGTTCTGAGGAACAGTTCTAAGCACTGGAAGACACAAGTGGATCTTCCAAATCCAAACTAAATGAAAATAGTTTCATCCCCCAACCCTTAATAAATGAGGAAGAGGAAATATGATGAAAACATGATCTGACGGCTGAGGACAATAGCGTTTAAACTGTACTTGTCATATTTAAAATTGCATCTATAGCAAATGTATAAATGAAAGGTTATGCACCTGTACATTATCCTGCCACTTACATAATTTGGGCACAGCTAGTCCATCCATTCAAGGACTTTATGCTGGGAGTGATGTTTGCCAGTACAGCGCAAAGTATTAATGTGGTGGCTAAATGATCAATCCCAATCTACCCGTCAATCTCAGGACATTTGACTGGTAGATCGCAGCACGTAAAGTGAAATTATGTTAAAAATGAACCAGTATACCAGGAGGAGGGGAGGGGCAAAAGAGGGCACCTGGGGGAAGGGGGCTATGTAAGGGCATATAAGGGAAGGGAGGTGAAAGAGGGCACAGGAGGGGAAGGGGGCTACGTAAGGGCACAGGAGGGGAAGGGGGCTACGTAAGGGCACAGGTGGGGAGGGAGCTAAAGAGAGCACAGGAGGGGAGGGAGCTAAAGAGGGCACAGGAGGGGAGGGAGCTAAAGAGGGCACAGGAGGGAAAGCGGGCTACATAAGCGCACAGGAGGGAAGGCGGGCTACATAAGCGCACAGGAGGGAAGGCGGGCTACATAAGCGCACAGGAGGGGAGTGGACTAAAGAGACTCACAGAGATGCTGGGGAAAACTGCATACAGATGGGCTAAGATGGGACAAAGACACACAAAGAGGGGCTGAGGGGAGATATGGGGGCACATACACACGGGGGGGCTGGAGGCACATACAGGGGCTGGAGGCACATACACACGGGGGGGCTGGAGGCACATACACACGGGGCTGGAGGCACATACACAGAGCACATACACATCACGGGGCTGGAGGCACATACACACAGGGGGCTGGAGGCACATACACACAGGGGGGCTGAGGCACATACACACAGGGGGGCTGGAGGCACATACACACAGGGGGGGTTGAGGCACATACACACAGGGGGGCTGGAGGCACATACACACGGGGGGCTGGAGGCACATACACACAGGGGGGCTGGGGGCACAAAGAGGAACATATCAGCACTTGGGGTGGCAGAGAGACACAGAGGGGCTGGGGAAGGGGAAAAAGACAAACAAAAGGAGTTCCATAGAAAATAGGTGTCATTATTAGTGTTATGTTTGTAAAGGGCAGGAGTTAGCAATATAGCCACACCCACGGGGTGGGGGGTACCAAACATGTTTTTGCACCCCAGGATCGGCCCAGGTAACACTACATATTAAAACAGGATAGGGATTTGTGGAAGTAGCTATGTTGCATGAGGAGCACTTAGTACAAGGGTTTAGGACATAAAATTTAAAAAAAACAAAAAAAAAAAACAGATTTACAATTATATACTCACGCTTAATTTTTTTCATGCCTACACATTTTACAACTTTTTTTTGTTTTGTTTTTAAATTTGTATTTTGTTTATTGAATTTCATGCAAAGTAGCAGATATTCACGTCAGGATATCAGTTTTTCAAATTAACATAGTAACAGCAGTGGATATGACATATTCCAAATAACATGGGATCAGACTCATTGCATACTAGCCTGATGTGTGTGGACTCTAGGTATGTGCACCATGTGTCAGTTAGAAGTAGGTGTTAGTTCTGTGGGTAACAGTTTTCGGCATCTGCCGTCCCTCGGTCTGTGTTCGGGAGATGTATGTCACCGTGTGTGGCATCGGTGTAACCTAGTGAGTATGTGTGTGGGCAGTTAACGTGTATCTCAGCTGTCTCGTACTGTTAGAGTGTGGTTTAACCCCTTCAGGACCAAACTTCTGGAATAAAAGGGAATCATGACATGTCACACGTCATATGTACTTAAGGGGTTAACAGTGTTTACAGTTTGCGGACTCCCAGTCTGTGTATCTTGGACATGGTCTGCGCTTTGCCTTCCCCAGTGCTCCGCTTCTCCTCCCCGGTGCGACTGCTCATGCTCGCCCTAGGTGAGGTGTCTTCTTTGTCTAGGCTCTGGAGTAGCGTATAAGGGTCATCAGCCGAGGTGAGTGTGGTGGTATTTTCTTCTTTTGTTACTATCAGTGCTCCGTCTGCTCCCCAGCGGTACCGCATTGATTTCTCTCTCAATTTTTTAGCTTTTGGAGCCAGTTTTCTTCTTTCCATCAGTGCGGCAAAGGGGATGTGGTTGAAGAATGTTATGGAGGCTCAAGTTTCACGCCCCCTAACTCTCTGGAAAGAGCCATACTGGCTGTTCTGACGGCAGTATCCCTTGTTACCAGTATAGTGTCTCTCGGGGCTGCCTCCGGAGCTGTCGCTGCCTTTCTCACTCTGAATACCATACCGGGATCTGCTTCCCCTGTGAGGCCTATAGATGTAGGATAATAGCCGTTCCCCCTTCACCTCTTCGGGAATGCCCCGCAGGCGTATGTGGCGGCGCCTGTGTCAAGCCTCTAGGGATGCCACTGTGCAGTTCAATTTTTGAACCTGCAGTGTGAGAGTGCCAATGCTGGTTTCGGTGGCTTGCAGCCAGGTTTCCCTCACTGTGTGTCTCTCACCTCCACTTCTTTGAACTTTTTCCGCATGTCCCCCATGTCTCGTCGGATTTCCTGGAGATCCGACTTCTATATTTGGCGCATCTCTAGGAGCATTTGCTTTATGTCTCCTCTGGTTGCTGGAGACGAGTCACCATCAGAGTCATCTGCCCAGTCTGAGTCGCCTTGTCTCGAGGAGGTAAGTTCCTCTCCCTCTTCTTCCAGAGATTCCTTCGAGATTTCTTCCTGGAGGTTCTCCGCGGGCGCCATTTTGAGGGGCACCGACGGTGTAGGCCACTCAAATGCCAGCCTTATATCTCTGTGGTTGGGGGTTCCTGGCCCCTGAGGCTTGCGGTGCTTGTGCCCCATGTTGTCTCTGGAGGGGAGGGGGGGTGAGGTGGTAGGTGGTCCGCTTCGTTTGTTTCTTTTTGTGTGTTTGGGGTTAATTCTCTGGGTGAAGAGGAGCTCTACAGAAACACGTCTGTTCAGTCTCGTGGTTGGCCACGCCCCCTCTTACCTTAAAACACATGCTTAAAGTGAACCTGTCATGTCCCACCATTTAAAGAGTGTCTGTGGGTGTTACAGTATTGTAACACCCACACTCTATTGCCATCCAGTCACTTGCAACTGCCCTTGCCTTGAGACACTTCTGCAAGAAGGGTAATTATCACTGAAAATGCCAAAACATGATGAGCAACTGCATTGTAACTGGAGGAAGGCTCTTTTGCTCTCCCTGTCGCTTGATCCACAGTATTAGACGGTTTGTGCCACCAGTAAGTGGAATTTAATGCTCTTTATAATAAACCTATCTTGTGTGTACCATGAAAGATACACTTTACATCCCACTTCATACATGTGTACGCACCAGTTTATTTGGGTAGCATTATTAGGTTCAATACATCTTGCACACACATTAAGATGTGTTTAATTGATATAAAGTGGGACTGTGCCTTGCAAAAAGGGATGCTTTGCAGGTATTGCCTTGTAGTTTAATACTTCTATCAGTGCCATAAAGAAAGTAGTGCAATGGAAATTAGTAAATTGCTGTAGACAAATAAGAGATGATTGTGAGCTGTCTGTCCTAAACTAACCAAATGTAGGGCAACACATACAGGACAAAAAGGAAGTAAAATACAAGCTACTCCCCCACATAGTCCTCTGAGTGGTGGAACACTAAACTTTCTTTGCCAACTCACCTAATAAAAAGGGTGCACAGGATGAAGATAACGAGACCCACAATGCTTGGAGCATCCCACCACTGAGCAGGAGTGTTAGAGGAAGTACTATTATTCACAATAGCCAGCAAGGTTGGGTTACAAACCTGTTCTAAAAAGACAAAGGAAAAACAATAAATTAAAATCAATCATAATCCCAGTTTTACATCTTAATTCTTCTAAACATTACAGATAAGTGTGATGTGTATTGTATTTCTACATTTTGTAAGGTACTTGCATATAACACAGTGCAACCCCATGAATTTCTCTGTATTTTTCTGGAAGTCATGGGTGGAATAGGTGCATGGTGCTGATGGGTACTTGTGTGATCTCTTTTTGCAAGCAAGCATTTTGCACTTTTTAAATACATTCTAACCAGTGCTAGAGATTTAATTAGCCTTGGGTTTTCACCAAAAAAACTAATTAATTGAGGTTACAACTTGGCACAAATCTTAGCTTGGTTATAAAAGCTAAAATTGATTAAAGAAACACTCCTAACCACAACAGTAATCTGCTAGGTGCTAGGAGTGCCCATTTGGGAACCAAGGTAAATTGTGAATTTATGAGCAAACTGACTACAAACATTGGAGGGGGGGCCTGGACACTCTTGGTACCATAACCAACACAATGCACTGTAGTGGTTATGGTGCTAAAAGTGTTCCATTATTGTAGGTACACTTAGGGAAAATAAAGTATCTAAGGTATATTTGGCCCATGTTGGCCCTTGCTATGCACACCCAATAACAACAGATTCTTCCTTTTTCAGAGAATTATTTCTCAAATTAGTTTCAATGAATATCACAGCACGTTCTGATTAGGATTGGTTTAGAAAAACCGTCCTTTGGTCACAGTTTTCCATAAATACTATAGTCTATTCTGTTAGGCAGAGTTTATGGTTTGGATTTCTTAGTGTGATCCTTCCTAATCGTGTCTGGCTGTACAATTAAATGAAACTATTTTAAATTTAAAACATTTAAAAAAAAAAAGCACAACCAGTAGTTACATTTTAGTTGGGCGTCTTTAATAATGTAAGAATTTCTCTATAGATGCTATTCAGGGTTATCTGCATTATTCACTGTTACCACTGTGGAGCAGTATTTTATTTCAACACTACGGTTGTAGATTTTGAAAGTCAATTCAATCTATTCAGTAAATGACCTACATAAGTAGAATGCCGGTGAACTAATAACATTTACAGCAATTAAAATTCAGAGTCACATCTATTCCTGAACATTGTTGACAGTCAACACTATACAATATATGTGATTTTTCTGACACTATATAAATAATAAAATAATAAAAATAACAATATATGTATACATCAGTGTACTTTACATTTGAATATGGGCCACAAAACTGTCTATTACTATAGACCTCCAAGCCTTAAGAATAGTCCATGCCACACATGTCTGTCTACCCAGAACGATCGTATTGGTCACTACAGAGAGGAATAAATCATAGTTATAGCTGCCTCTTTAAAGACATGAATAGGGTACTGTGTGGGTTCACTGTACCAAACAGCAGCTACAAGGAAAGCATGGGAGTGCAGGTATGATTATCCCCAGTATATAAATATTTTCACTGAGAATCCTCTATTAGCATTCACAAGATTACCACCTAATTACTTACCTGGTACATTAGCCATTGCAGACCAAGTGACAAACATTGTGTATAAGGTAATAACAGAAGCTTGCAATAATCCTGAGTGAGGTTGTGCATCCTGCAAAAAGAATGGCAATTATAAAAAGTAATTAGTAAAAAAAAATTATATATTTATATTCACCAAACTGCACAGTATCAGTGACATAGCACCATATTAAAATGCCCCAGCCCCCCATGTGTCTCATTTCCTCTCCTCCCTCCCACATGGGTCTCATTCCCTCAGCCCCCCATGTGTCTTACATGACAGTATTAATTTTAGTGGCAAATTTCAATTTAGTTTTAGTCATAGTCTTTTGACTAAAAAGCCATTTTAGTTTTAATCACATTTTAATCATCATGTTTTAGTCTAGTTTTAGTTGACTAAATCTCTAAAATCTTAGTTGACTAAAATCTGACTGAAATTGTTATTCGACAAAATTAACAGTGGTCTGGGTGCAGTGGCCTCGTAATTTTAACCCAGTTTTGTAGAAACTTCACTGCAAGTCACTCTTCAATGCTCCTCTAAGAGCCAGATTACATCGTGGGAGGAGGCGCAAAAGGCATCACCGAGGGTGTCTCTGTGCTGAGGATAAGGTATTTTTAAAATCTTTTTACCGCTGTGGGGGTGGGTTTTGCTTAAAGGACCACTCTAGGCACCCTGACCACTTCAGCTTAATGAAGTGGTCTGGGTGCCAGGTCCTTCTAGGGTTAACCCATTTTTTTCATAATTAGTGTCCTAGTGTTTAATTAGTTTAAAGGACCACTATCTATATGTCTAGATAATCTTCTTAGCCTAATTATATCAGAGTGGTACAGCATTTTCAACATGTGTGCCTAGCCTGAAGTATACAGCATTTCCTTTAGCATTTTCTTTTATTTAAAAAAAAAAAAAAAAACTGCTATAATTATGAATGGGTTAAGCCTTCCCCCTAATCCTCTAGTGGCTGTCTCACTGACAGCCACTAGAGGCGCTTGCGTGCTTCTCACTGTGATTTTCACAGTGAGAGCACGCCAGCGTCCATAGAAAAGCATTGTAAATGCTTTCCTATGCGACGGGCTGAATGCGCGCGCAGCTCTTGCCGCGCGTGCGCATTCAGCCGGCGGGGCGTAACAGAGGCGGAGAGGAGGAGGAGAGCTCTCCGCCCAGCGCTGGAAAAAGGTAAGTTTTTACCCCTTTCAGAGCCGGGCGGGAGGGGGACCCTGAGGGTGGGGGCACGAGTATGTTTTCCTGGCACTATAGTGGTCCTTTAAACTAATTAAACACTAGGACACTACAGGTTTGTATTCCTAAGGCTATAGAGTTTTTTTTTTTAATCTGGGATAAAATAAACCATAAATCTGTTTCTGTGCTTGGTATTTTTTTCCCCTTTTTTGTTGCACAGATGGAAACAACATCAGAATGTTTTTTTAACCTTCTTTTTGGTCAGAGATATTTTGTACAGACTCTGTACATTTATATAATGGCTATTTCCCTCAGATGCCTTATTTTTAAATTATACAGATGTAGCTATTCTAGCTTTTCTTCATTTTCTATTCCTCTTACTCATTTTGTAGTTCACCTCTGTACTTTAATTTCTTAACAGGTTACTTCAACAATCAAAACCATTACAGGCCGTTGTAGTGGTCATAGTGGAATAAGTACACCGGCGCTATTCCCTGGTAATGAGACATAACCCAACTGGGAGTCAAGGTTCCTTCATCCAGAGATACCAATTCTGCCACGCATTCATTTAATGAGAGCGTCAACTGATCGCCAATAAATGAGCATCTGTGCATGGAAATATGCACATCATTGATTTTAGCCAGTTTCTACCTGGCTGACGATGCCCCATATAAATTCCATATATGCAGAATGCCACAGTGAAACACTGAAGTGGTCACGTGTTTGGGTTAACCCTTTAATTTATTTTTATTTTTTTAAACTAGTGCCCAAATATGCACCATATATTGAAAACCAGTGATAGAAGCAATAATGAACAATATAGGGCAGGGCCTGACAGACAAGATGGGTGGATGTGTTCCTTAACAGCTCCTGCACATTTGAGCTTAAATTAATCTTTTAGTGCCCACAACCGCATCGGATGCAGCTTTAAATGAATGGTGGGCTGACACTTCACCGAGTGGGAACACAAGGATGTACGACACTGTTACACCAAGAATTCACACCATACAACTATGCAGCCTAGCTTGACTTCCGACCTGGTGACCAGGGAAGGTGGACCATCCCCCGACACGGGGTATGCTTTAAAAAGAGACTTTCTAATGTTTTTAAACCATGTTTTATTACAGCTACATAAACTCTATATGTCTAGATAATCTTCTTAGCCTAATTATATCAGAGTGGTACAGCATTTTCAACATGTGTGCCTAGCCTGAAGTATACAGCATTTCCTTTAGCATTTTCTTTTATTTAAAAAAAAAAAAAAAAGTGCAACATTTGTAAAATGTTATGTTCCATTTTCAAAACTTTGCTTGTCGTGTGCGGACATGCTACTATGTGTCTGTATGTTAATCTCTGCACTACAAAATAAGGAATGTAAAAAAAAAAAAAATTAAAAATGAATTTAATGGAATTTAACATTTGTAACTTAAGACACAATTGATAAACTGATTAGGGATAGGTTGAGGGGAGTGTAATAAACAGAAGCGAGCGAGAGCTGCAGAGGGTAGGAAATAGCCTACAAAAAGCCAGACACGGGATAGAATAAAGTGACATTTTATTTACCTGGACCTTTGGTAGTATTGACACTATGGAGACTATGACGCAGAAGATCAGATTGAGACTGATGAAGACCTTGTTGGGAGTACAGTTATCTGGTTTGGTGTAATAAATGTACAGGAACACAATGGCTGTGATAGAGGCCGCATACAAAAGGAATGTGCAAATCAGTAGTGCTAGAAACACAAAGAAAATAAATGCAATGCACTGTTAATAGAGACAAGAAGCAATTTTGGAGCAAAGTCTTATAATTAGAGCAATCAGCAGACATGCCCATTGCTGGATTATGAGCGATCCCCATTTAGCACTTTGGCCCAGGATTTCTTCAATGATATATGGTTTAATATGGCCCAGGCATGCCATAGCCTCTGGATCACTCCTTGACTAGCAAATCATACCTGCATACCAGCACTTGGTGTTACCATCTTCTGCCAAATTAAGCCAGGACTGGCTCCAGGAGTGGGCAAGGTCAATGATGAGGATGAGTTGGATAATAATAAATATAAACCCTCCAACCATGCCAAAATAGTACCACACTGTAAGAAAAAAAAAAGATGCTAGTCAAAATCAGAAGATACAGAATGATACCAATGTAGAAAGAAAGATAGCGTTTCGGAATTTTGGGTAAAATGACAGGCAGCCAAAATGGTTAGTGAGAAAACAGAAGGGGGTGGAGAGGTGGGTGAGAGGAAAAGGGATGTGGGAAGAGAGGAAAACTAAGAGGGGGAGAAAAGGGGGAAGAGGAAAAAAAGAAGCGGGAGAGAGAAGAGAAAGAGGGGCCAAGGAAAAATGCAGGGGGGCTAGAGGAAAACAATAAGGGGTAAGAGGGGAAAAAAGAGGGTGAGGAAAAAAAAACGGTAGGATAGAGAAAGGAAGAATGGAGGTGTAAGAAAAAATAGAATAGAGGTGGGGATGGAGAGATATCAAACTCTGCTAGAATTCTCATAACCTATACATTTACCTCCCTCTAAGGTCATTATTATTTCTTCTTGTACTTTCAGCCCACTTTTTATAGATAATGTCATGCATACTTGGAATAATTAAAGCAAAAAAAAAAAAATTAAATAAGTTTCTCCTGTCGCCTATACACCTTCTAGAAAAAAGTCTTAAAATGCAAAGTCTACACCAGTTAACAGCAGAGTATTATGCATACTATTTTATGAGCAGTGGATGTGGGTGACAGAAAACTACTATTTGATTTGGGGAACCATAAGAAAAAAGAATGTCTATACAAACAATTTGCAGAGGGGGAAGGGTTGTTAAAATAAATTATGTTGTGTTACCAGTTGTGAAAGTGCCATGAGGAATGAAAAATGCTCCAACTGTGATCCCAACTAGTATAAGGAACTTGAAAAACCAAAACCTAGAAGAGAAGGTAAGAAATGTTATCTATTGCCATAAATGAAAAGTTGTATAATACAGACAGGTCAGTGAGTAGGAAAAGGGACTACCATCAAGAATTTACAAAAAGCATGAAGGGTATTTGCAAAAGAATGGTATTTTTTATAGATGTACAGAGCACTTTAGAAATGGATGAATATATATTCACATATAAAACACACACACTGCTATATGTAGACATACAAGAGTATATCTTTTTAAAGGTAAGCAGTTGATAAATACTTATAGGTATCAGAGTGGTTTGCATATTAAAAGGGCCACCCAGACCACTTCAGCTCAATGAAGTGGTGTGGGTGCCAGGTCCCACAAGTTTTAACCCTTCAGATGTAAACATAGCAGTTTCAGTGAAAGGGGGGCCGTGCCGAAGGGGGACCTAAGGATTATATAGTGTCAGGAAAACTAGTTTGTTTTCCTGACACTATAGTGATCCTTTAATAATAAGGGTCAGTAAGAAGCATAACTTATCAAAGCATATGAGATTACAAAAACATTTCTTTCCAGGGCCAGATTGCAACCTGCAGACACTGTATTCAACAATGTCTGAAAGAGCCTGGATTGGATCCAGATTTTAACCTGACTGAACAAAAAAAATGCCTACAGGTGTTAAAACCACCCTTATGCTTTGCACAGGATTCCGATGCAAAGAACACAGATTTTAAACTAGACACTGAATACACCCAGCCAATTGTTGCAGTTTTGGTCAGGAAGACTGACTTGGCTTTTATAAATAGAGAGTAGAGCGCTGCCAATCCAGTCAGAATTTGGTCATATTCTCATAATTTTGTCCATACAGACAAAATTTGGTGTTAAGTGAATATGTTATGTTTTGCATGGTTAAATCACCCTGTTGGTGAAATGGAAAATATAATTTCTGTGGGTTTTGAATCTGCAGAAAATGGAATGCAGCATTAAACATTTCAAAGCCTAGATCCCAACGCTGATGAAGTTTGAGGAAAAATAAATTAAAGTTAAAAGTCCCATTTACTTTAATAGCTTTTTCTTTGTTAAGTTTAAGGATTTGTAGCCACTTTCCTCATTTCGTATTATATTTATACAATTCCATTCATATCTACTTTTGTTGTTCTGGTAACCATGTGTGTTCAAGTGCTGGTAACAAAGACTAGATAAACCCTAAAGATGCACATTATCGTCCCCTGTTTTGTAATCACTCACCCATTCTGCACATACGCTCGTGGGTCCCTGCTGCTCTGTACACAAATCATTATTAGCATGAAAAGGAAGAAAAATGCAGCCAGGGCAAAACACATGCGATACACAGCTTCATGACCAACAATAGAATCACACTGCACGGAACCAGCAATGGTGGTGGAAGTGGAGCAGAACCATGGTATCTGGGAGAATAAGAACAACAGAATATTGAGATATGGCTGTTGTATATTATTATAATAGGTGACAGAGTGACACACATAAAAAGCAATGTTAAACTGAATCTCTTATGTTACATACACTAGGACAGAAATACAGGTTGCATGTCCCACTGCAGTTATGTTCATATATGGTTGACAGAATTGTTCTTCTCTAAAGTGCAAGGTGAAAGGGTAAATTGTTCACATACAGGTGTTTGGAATTTTTAAAAAAATTCTGCTTGTCCAAGGTAGCCCAATCTATTTGTACATCATGACAATCCACTTGTCCTGACACCAATTCCAATTACAAAGATATGAGCTATGGACATTAAGAGGGCAGTTTGCTGAACTTATTAAAAATTAAATCTAAATGGAAGCAAAAGTAACGGATCTGGAAAAATTTTCTAGCTCTGCTATAGTCACAATATGACTTTGTCCCAATTTTGCAAAAATTCTGAGTTATGTGTCTCACAGTCTGCTCTACGATTATAGTCATCATTTATATAGCGCCAACACATTTACAATGATAAAATGAGGATATCTGGCGAGTAATTTACATACAAAGCACAAAAGAAGTCCTGCTCAAACGAGCTTGCAATCTATAGTAGCGTCTCCCTCTGTCATAGTGTGATTTTGGCGAGTCTTTGCTGTGTGTGGGTTGCTGTATGTAATGTAAGCTGGCTGCAAGAAATGTCTGTGTATATGTGTGTTGGCTGTATATCGTGTGTGTAGTTAGTGCATGCGCTGGCTGTGTGCCATGTACCAAATAGAACAAGATGCTGAGGTTAGATACTTTAGTACCTAAAAGGCAAAAAACGTTTTCTTCTGTGGAGCCATATGTGATCGTGATTATGATACACGTTCTGATACAGAAACACATCCACTGACACACTGCACACTGATAAACATCCACTAACGCACTCACTTACCTATATACACAAACTACATATTCTCTGACACTAGCACACAGCACAGTTCAATAGAGTATTTAAATTACCAGCAGCTGTATGGACATCTACATTGTTCAGGAGTGGGTGTGGAGTCTATACCAGGCTCTACCTGCTATGCAGAACATGATGGGATATGACCTCACACTGTATCCCATTGCTCTATAGTATTGAGCATTGTGAAGAGCAACTAGCGGCTGCTGCATGTCCGCATACCTCCCTGTGAGCCACCAGTAAGCAGCAGTTACCTACAGCAGCCAATTTGGTCCTGCACCCACCTTACACCCCCTGTCTGGCACTGATCCACCCAAGGCAGTCTTAAAGAACAGTAAATAAAAATAAAAAAATCCTGCCAACTGCCCAGAACTTCACACCCCGGTACCTGGCAATAAAAATTCCACAGCCCTGATATTATAATCATGAACCACTATTTGGTTAATATTTAAAGGAGAGAGAGACAAGAGGCTTTAAAGTAATGACCAGTATAACTGATAGAAACATAGAATGTAACAGCAGATAAGAACCATTCAGCCCATCTAGTCTGCCAAATTTTCTCAATACTTTCATTAGTCCCTGGCCTTATCTTATAGCTATGATAGCCTTATGCCTATCCCACGCATGCTTAACCTCCTTTACTGTGTTAACCTAAATAGAACACCTTTGCCTTCCATAATGTTGGAAGCAGATAAAAGAGTTTGGGGATTTCTATAATTCAGTAAATTAAACAAAAATGCTGCCATATTAGAATACAATGGATCAAATTAATAACTTGTTTAGGTGGTACCTTTTGAAGTCCAGCTTCCACTCCTGGGATGATCATGATACAGGCCACTAGGGTTCCGAGGAGAAGAAATATGGAGAATGTCAGTCGTGTTGCCGTGGAGCTTTTTGTAGATGGGCAGCAGGCACAAAGGAGACATGGTGCAGTACCACAAAGGCAGGAAGCCTGTTAAAGAGAGGAGGAAAGGAGAGTGACATGATATCTCTGTACATCATAGATGGAAGGCATGGGAAGGTTATAGAGTGCTCAATAGTGCAGGGAAAAAGTTTGGTAAGCAGGTTGTAAAAATAATGCAACTGCTAAACTACATCTGTTGGTAAGTTTAGAATCATAGAAGTAACAGATTAACAGCTGATGTACCAAACCTCTACTAAACAAATGAGCAGGCAATACCCTATGAAGTTCTTTATTAAAATGCACAGAATGCCTTTCTGTGAGCCATGATACCCAAAGGATTTAAAGGGAGGGAGGGAGGATTGAGGCATAGTTTGTTGACCTCCTAAAGACACAAGCCATTGAATCTATGAAAGGGTGAGATACAATTGTGTGGAGGAGCGTGAAGTATACAACTGGAAGCTCTCGATAATGAACATGAAGCCATGGCAGGGGGAGGCACGGAAAAGGGGGAAAATGCTATGGGTACTAGAAAGAGTCAAGCACTGTGCAACATGTAGGGAAGTCTTTAATATCAATTGGACCCTGGGCAAGCATTTGCTTGGGCCCCCTTTACCGTGCCCTCTCCCTCCCCCCAGCATCCTGGCATGCAGTCACGGACTCCACCCCAACCTACTGATGGAACCAATGTAGAGAGGGCTTTGGTGCAAGAATTTTTTTTGGGTCTCCCTTAAAGTGCAAGAGTGGTGAAAAGATAGATATTGTGAATTTGAATGTAAGCATGTTTTTGTATAGAGTATATGTGTACATGTAGGGGTGTATTTGTATGTAATTTTACCATTGGAATGCAGTGGTGTACTTGTGTGTAGTGTTTGCGTTTGAATGCAGGGGGGGGTGTTTGTATGTAGTGTTAGATTTTAAATGCAGTTGTGCTTTTGTATATGGAGTTGGTGTTTGTATATAATTTTAATGTTTTAATGAAGAGGTGTGTTTGTAATTACATGCAGGGGTGTGTTTGGATGTAGTGTTGTCTTTTAAATGCAGATGTACATTTGTTTGTAGTATTGGTGAATGAAGGGTGTGTTTGTATACAATTTTGGAGTTTGTATTCAGGGGTGTGTTTGTATGTTATGATTGTGTTTGCAGCGGTGTGTTTGATTACCTGGATGTATACACATACATACTAACACATATATACATACACACACAAACACACTGATAAATGCACACATCTTAACACACAGATACAAACTGGCATATACACACACTAGCACACACACAGATACACACACTGGCACATACAAGGGGCCCAGGCCAGAGCACTCTTAAAGGGCTGAGGGCCCCTGATTACATCAGGTGCTGCAGTACACAGGGTTTGGATGCCGGCAGGGGTCCCACTTAGCAGCTACTTTGGGCCCCCCATGATTAACTGGGCCCGGGGCAGCTGCCCCTTTTGCCCCCCTTTAAAGACAGCCCTGGCAACGTGGAAAAGGCGATATTGGAAAAGAATGTAAGAAAGTGAATTAATTAACTAACGTGAGAATTTAAAGTGACTTTCAAATGTAAGGTCATACTAGCCGAACTGGAAGCCTAGCTGAATTAGAGAGTTTTTCTGGTTCAACTGTTTTGACCTTAAATTTGAAATGCACAGGCAAACAGGCTGGTTATATGCCAACAGAAGTGCTATATGGATATCTTTTAAATGCCAAGTCTGCTTTCACATGAGAACTGTATTGAACTTCCAGACGGGTTTAAAAGGGGGAGGGAGGTTGATGAAAGAGAGAGTTGCCTACTAATCAAAGAGCATAAATATTTATTCCTGGCAAACAGTGGGAGAAAGCAACAGACTTACTTACAAACACACACACAAATGCTGAAATTTAAGGATTTGAGCCTTTTCATCATGTATTACTATGTAACAACACACACAGACACAGGATGGGGATGAAAGTTAAAGACCAAGGGAGAGAGCGGCATACAAGTCATCAAATAATGTAAATAGATGATCATGACAAACAGTGAGACAAAAGCAAGTGATGTACATATACATATACAAATATACACACACACATACATACATATCTCAGATAACATGGCCATATAGGCGTGAGGTATAATAAAAAGGCAGTCTGATGTGTATCCGTTAAAATAAGTAGTTCTGAAGAGGGACAAGAAAGTGCTTATGCAAAGAAACAATCTAAGCACCAAAACCACTAGAGTGTGCTGTCATGGTTATGGTACCAGGAGTGCACTGGTATCCTCCAATGTAAGTAGTCAAGGCAGGACTGGGATAAAAATTTGCTGGTCATTCAACAGCAGATTAGATAGACACAAAAGTGATTTAACTTCTAAATAACAGAACTGAGAATGTGATCTACACACCCAAACTGCTTCATTAAAAGGATCCTGTAGTGCCAGGAAAACAAACCCCTTCAGCCACTTACCTGAATCCAGCGCCGATGTCCCTCGGCGCTGGGTCAGGCTCCCCCCACACTCCTCCCTGGGTGGGCCAACGGGGGAGACCTAACGGCCGCATGCGCAAAGGGTTAATCAATGCTTTCCTATAGGTAAAAGCTGACGCTGGAGGTCCATGAGGAAGTCCAGCAACAGATAACAGACTAAAAGTCAGTTTAGATTCTGGAAGCTCTCTAGTGACTGTTAGACAGCCACAGAGGGCAGACTTAGAGCTGCAAAGTAAACATTGCAATTCTCTGGAACTCCAATGTTTAACATTGCAGCACAGCACCAAGACATTTAGTTGCTCAGCCCCCTTTGTGTTCACATCTACTTTCACTTTGGACTGCTACATGCTGCTTCTGTATTAACTGAAACGGTTGCAGTTTTTGGGAAGTATATGTTATGAACCAATGCTAGAATTGGATACTTTGTTTATTTAGGGTGTTATATGTCCCACCCAAGTTATTTAATATATCTAGAGTAATTTTTCATTGTTTTAGCTGGTATTTTTTATTAAAAAATATAAATATCATGACATGTTCACTTTAACTCTGTGCTAACAATTTCCGTGGAATAAAAAAGGTAATATTTAGAACATCCAAACGTACTTATATGAATGAATCAGCAGGTCTTGTATTATTAATTATCATGGTTTCTGGGTGTGGTAAACAGATATGTATTTGGTTGTAATTCGTCTAGATGATTATACTGGCACAATCACACATTGCTAAGGATATTATAAAAAAAAAATCTTCTCTTGCATAAAGTATTGTGGGGAGATAATCCATATCCTAGATGTTTAATTAGAGCACATCTAGATAAAATGTACAGGGTGTGGAAATAAAAAAAACAAAAACAAAAAACATCTACTTGTCCAAGGGACTAAAGCAGTAGCTCAATCTACTTGTCCATTATGGCAATCCACTTCTCCTGACATGTAAATTAATTTTAGATTGGGGTACCTGCTTAGAGCCCTGGATAGATAAGGGTATTCACTAAACTCAGAATTTAATCCAAATGGAAACAGTCGATCTGAGAAGAAAAAAAAAATGCTCCAACACAGCAATAGTCACAACTTTTTGCCTCAGTTTTTTTTAATAAAAAGTTTAGAGAAAACCCTGAGTGTCACCATCTGTCCCTCCATAGTAAGTGTGTGCGTGCAGGCTGAGTGTAATGTGTGTATAGGAGTATAGGTGTGTAATATGTGGGTGGTGGTGGTTGTGTCCAGTTTGACTCTTCCTCCAAAGAGTGCATCTTCCACTAGCCCACACATTAGAGCAATATTTAGTAGGTCTACCCCATATCTTCCTCTCATGCACACTATTAATCCATCCCTTTAGTATCATCTACCCCTTTAGTATCCTTGCCTCTTTCTCATGCCATTGGTTTCCCTGCCAATAACTCCCCCTATCAGTGTCCCTGCCAATAACTCCCCCTATCCCAGGCCTGCCCCCCCAATCTACCTGACTAGGGTCCCTGCCCCTACTCAACCCCCCCCATTAGTGTCTATGCCCCTACCCAGCCACTCCCCCCCCATTAGTGTCCCCACCTCTACTCACCTCACTAGTGTCTCAGCTCAATATTGCTCCACCCAGTCCCCAGCCACTCAGGGGGCAGACAGTCCTGCCCCTACATAAAGACTCTTGCATGAATTAGCAGCCCTGCCACTTGACGGTATATAAAAAGTAGATTAGAACTGCCTGCCCACCGCCCAGAGCTACATGTCCCAGGCGTTGGGCGATAGGAATTCCACATCCCTGGTTGTATTTAGAGAATCCAAGCAGCTGCTATCCAGATATTAAGCAATTCCAATCAACCTATATCATGACTAAAACTCCTCTTTGGTGGTGGGGTGTGGAGGGCAATTTATACTGTTAACTATAGCTGAATGGAAGAACCTAGATGAGCCATTTCATTTACCAAAGAAAATTTACCATAGCTTTTACAATACACATTATTTTTACTTCTCTCTAAGCAAAGTTGAACAATTCCTTTTAATTTTTAAATACATTGCTACACTTCAAAACATGCAGAGAGGTTGCAGGGACACCATCTGTACAGCTAGTACATAATAGCCTAGTAAATGATGCAAAGGACATACAGGTTTGCATGTATTTCAGTGTTATGTTTCAGAACAGAAGGACAAATAGAAAATATATCATTACATTGGAGCCCAGTTTGTTTGCTTTACACCTGGAACAAGACAGTGTTTATTAGCAGTGACCAACGGGGAACATAAAATGTGGAAAATGTGGAATTGCAAAAAAAAAAAAAAAAAAGTTTTTTAAAAGTATGTAAATGTAACCACTGAATTATGTATTTAAAAATGTCCCTCCCAAGCACACACAATCAGTTAAAATAAACATGCTGTCCTCAGGAGGTATCACCCACTGAATTGTACAATGCTTTGTAATACAACACTATACGTAATAAAATGCAGCTAATTTGTGTGCACTCCCAAAATCCTTAGTTCACAAGTAGTGCAACATAAAATAAATTAATAAGTTAAGAAAAAAAAAAAAAAGGTTATGTTCAATAACAGTTACAAGCTCCCCCAACCCTTCTACAGGACAACAAAAAAAAACTTTTTTTTTTTTTTTTTTTAAATAGGCTAAACAATATATATATATAAATTAAAGGGATCCTATAGTGCCAGGAAAGCAAAGCTGTTTTCCTGGCACTATAGGGTTAATAGGTCAGGTTAAAACCCCTCCAGCCACTTAACTGAATCCAGCACCGATCAGGTCCAGCGTCAGATAATGGACCAAAAGTCTCTTTGGATTCCAGAAGTGCAAAAGGGTAAAAAAAAAAAAATTTAACATTGCATTAAGTGCAAAAGGGTCACAGCACTCAGACTACTCCAATTAGCTGAAGTGGTCTGGGTGCGTACCGTGTCCCTTTAATGTTCTAATAATAATGATAACTTAAAAAAAAAAAAAAAAAATGTCCTTTCCTGCTTGAGAAGGTTAAGATTTAAGATTCATTAAATCTCTAAAATTGTCATGTGCCATCTATTGTTTTTACAGTCACAAAATTAAACTAAAATTACCTGAGGGCAAGTAAAGAGACCCTATAGGCACCCAAACCACTTAATCTCATTGAAATAGTTTGGGTACAGTCACCTTAGCCCTGCAATGTAAAACATTGCAGTTGTTTATATTGCAGTGCTAAGACTGCCTCTAGAGGAACTTCCTGCATTAACAAGGAGTTTGACAGTGAAACAATGCTGGATGTCTTCACGATTTGCATGAGGTCGTCCAGCATCTTCAGAATTCCCATAGGAAAGAATTCATTCAATGCTTTGCTATGGGGAAAGCTTACTGCGCACATGGCACTTGCTGCGCATTAGCTTTCCACATTGTCAACGCTGGAGAACCCGGAGCCAAAGGGACTTTGTACTGAAAAGGGGTAAGTGCAAAAGATTTTTTTTGTAACCCTTTCAACACACATGGAGGCAGACAATAGCCTTATGGCTTCTGTATTCCAAGCGCTATATAATGTTCCTTTAACATTTCGCATGATCACATAATAAATAATGCCTTTCTAAAAGGCCACACAGTTTGTTTTTAGAGTGTTTCGTTTTTTTTTTAATTCTTTATTTTGTTATGCAAGTAATAACAAAAAAGGGTGGATACGCCACGACAGCAATACCAAGCATCAAATAAACAGACATTAATAGTATCATGGCGTAGAGTGTTTCTTAACCCCTTAAGGACTGAGCCAAATGTACACATTGTGATCAAAACAAAACGTAAACAAAACCTTGAATTTGACTATATGTCTGTTCAGACGTATTTCACCTCTTTCATATTATGTGCACCCACACATTTTATGTGCACTTTCATTTAACATGAAATATTTAGGTATGAAGCATAATTTAATATGAATAAAATATACAAAAATGGGAGAAAATAAGAATAAAAAATAAATAAAAACAAATTGAGTTTTAGATAATCTGTACCTGCATACCAACTTACACATGACACTCAGTGGCGCCTGGCCAAACAGTGAAGCACGATCTACCCAAGAACACCCCACAACTACACTGGCAACGCATTACCGCACAGGCTCACCTAGTCTAGACCGCAGAGAGAAATGCCTAACAAGGGATTGGGCCCCAATAACATCAGGTCGCCTGATTTAGCACACCGTAGAAACAGCACCTGGTACCGCAGGAGCACATCCAAAAGGGGAGACAAGTCAACTTACATACCCCCATAACTTCGTTGCTGTCCCTCCCCTCCCCAGTGGTCCAAAAGGGTGCCCCAGCCAGGGCTCCTTTATGGGCGGGTAGCCGTTTACCCAACCAGTGTTTCCCTCTGTAGGACCCAGAGCCTGAGATGCGGACGTGTATAGATAGGACACGCCCGCATCTCAGGCTCTGGGTCCTACAGAGGGAAACACTGGTTGGGTAAACGGCTACCCGCCCATAAAGGAGCCCTGGCTGGGGCACCCTTTTGGACCACTGGGGGAGGGGAGGGACAGCAACGGAGTTATGGGGGTATGTAAGTTGACGAGGGCTAATAGTCAGGTGGTAACAAAACACAGAAAGTTATAAGTTTCAGTTGAATTTTAAGGATTTCTTTTTCAAGTAAAATATATTTGAAAAATTGAAGGATGACACCAAGACACTAAACTGATATACAATGTCATGCTTCAAAATATGTATGTACCTTATAAACAGTGATGTGCCTCATAAGTTTTTGGCTTCTGCGTAAGCCTCATTGTACCTGCCATGATACGTGTCATCCAAAAATAAAGAATTAAACATTTTAAAAAAAATATCAATTTAGAAGGAAAAGAGGTTTGCTGTTCTAGGGAAACCAAACTTTAAAGGAACACCACAGCATTAGAATTTTTTTTTTTTTTTTTTTTGCTTTCTTTTTTCCAGTGGTGAAGTTCCCCTGGTGCTGCTCACCTCTACACCTCCTCATCATACAGGTGCACTGGGGAGCTAAAGCACTTGTGCAGAGCATGTCACGTGCTCATTCAAGTAGTCAGTGCTCTCCTATGGGCTCTTGGTCATGTGGCTGCATATTACTTGGTCAGTGGAATGGCAGTATCTCTACTTCCTGTCAGAAAGACAGCCACTGGAGGTGGATTCAGCCCTGCAATGTAAACATTGCAGTTTCTCTAGAGTGACAAGGACAGGGCCACTGAACTCACGCCATGTTATGGAGATAGTGATCTGGGTAACAACAGTGTTTGTCCTAGCACAAAATCGACTTTATCACCCTGAGAAGACCATCCCTCCCCAAAGTGAAGTGTAGTGGTGGTAGCATTATGTTGTGGGAATGGATCGGGGAAAGATGGACCAAGATGTGCCAAGCTCGTAAAAATATCTTGTTTTGACTTTGGGGGAAAAAAATGATCTAACCAAGATGTGTCTGTTTTGTTGTGTTTAATGATCAGTTGTGTTAACATGTAGTATAAGTCAAATACCGATAAAACCCCATACTAACACCAAGTTGTAACACTGTTTAGACAGTGTTTTGTACCTAATGGCAAACAAATAATAGTACAACACAGAATTACTCAAGGTATTACATGCATACATTTACACAAATGATCTTCTACTTTGCTTGCATTTTGAAAACTAAACATAATCGGTGTTTTTGTTTGTTTTCGGTTAGCTTTTTATTTGCGGGGGGGAGTAGCAGAGGTGGAATTTTTGTTTTATTTTAATATTACTGCTATGTTAGGAAGTACAAAGTCAGCAAAACCTGTATAATTACTTCATACAGGACGCTGTGTCAGAGCGAGACCCCACCAGGCAGCGTGGTCAGTTTAATCACCCACGCCGATAGCTCACGTTCATGTGAACAGCACCTCTGTACGCCACTTACCTGATATAGAAGGAAGAACTCCATGCATATGAACGCCACTCACCTATACTGCAAACAGAACTCCGTTCGTACAGACACCGGTTCACAAACACAGCAAGAACAGAAGTCTGTTCGTGATAACACCGCTGCTTTCACATGTGACCACACAGAAAGTAGAACTTCAGGAGAACCAAAGGGTGCACGCACGCGCCGACACAAAGGAGGTGGAGACCAGGGTGGAACCTCACTTAACAAGACCACCATTTCCCCTATTTAAGTCGCACACAGTTGTACTGTGCTCTTAATTGTGTAAAGATCTTCAGAGACGTTCCTGATTTTGACCCTTGCCTGTATCATCGCTTCTGAACCTGTGTCGCTTGTCCTGACCTTTGGTTTCCCCTGACTACTCTCTTTGTCTAATCCTTTGGTACTGCGAACTTGGTTCTTTGCTTTCTGCATCTTGGGCTCCGTCCACTAAGCTGTGTTCCCGACACCTCCTGATATGAACTTTTATCTAAGATTGCCAGGATAATTTAAATCTCACCAGAAACAATGAGTTTCTCAAGTTCACCGGGCTGGAACTGGTACATTTTGAATACATTTCCTAAACAATCCATTTATTTTATATATAAAAAAAAAAATTTATATATATATATATATATATATATATATATATATATATATATATATATATATATATATAAATTTTTTTTTTTATATACACACACACATATATATACACACACATACACACACACACACACACATACATTGCTCAAAAAAAATAAAAGGGAACACTTAAACAACATAATGTAACATGCAATTGTGGAACGACCTCCGCACAATTTAAAATCTTCCCTAAGCCTAAAGTCCTTTAAGAGATCCCTCTTTACATACCTCAAAACAGAATGCACCTGTCATGGCTGATTATATATTTACTACCTGTTCTATGTTAAATTTTGTATTTATTGTGTATTAATATTGTTTTTGTATTTTATTGTACCCTAATGTAACAATGCAATGATTTGTGGACCCAGGACATACTTGAAAACAAGAGAAATCGCAATGTATCTTTCCTGGTAAAATATTTTATAAATAAAATAAATAACTCCAAGTCAATCACACTTATGTGAAATCAAACTGTCCACTTCGGAAGCAACGCTGAGTCACAATCAATTTTGCATGTTGTTGTGCAAATGGGATAGACAACTGGTGGAAATTATATGCAATTAGAAAGATACCCCCAATAAAGGAGTGGTTCTGCAGGTGGTGACCACAGACCACTTCTCAGTCCCTATGCTTCCTGGCTGATGTTTTGGTCACTTTTGAATGCTGGTCGTGCTTTCACTCTAGTGGTAGCATGAGACGGAGTCTACAACCCACACAAGTGGCTCAGGTAGTGCAGCTCATCCAGGATGGCACATCAATGCAAGCTGTGGTAAGAAGGTTTGCGGTGTCTGTCAGTGTAGTGTCCAGAGCATTGAGGCGCTACCAAGAGACAGGCCAGTACATCAGGAGACGTGGAGGAGGCCGTAGGAGGGCAACAACTCAGCAGCAGGACCTCTGCCTCCGCCTTTGTGCAAGGAGGTACAGGAGGAGCACTGCCAGAGCCCTGCAAAATGACCTCCAGCAGGCCACAAATGTGCATATGTCTGCTCAAATGGTCAGAAACAGACTCCATGAGGGTGGTATGAGGGCCCGACGTCCACAGGTGGGTGTTGTGCTTACAACCCAACACTGTACAAGATGTTTGGGATTTGCCAGAGAACACCAAGATTGGCAAATTCGCCACTGGCGCCCTGTGCTCTTCACAGATGAAAGCAGGTTCACACTGAGCACATGTGACAGACGTGACAGCATCTGGAGACGCCGTGAAGAACGTTCTGCTGCCTGCAACATCCTCCAGCATGACCGGTTTGGCAGTGGGTCAGTAATGGTGTGGGGTGGCATTTCTTTGGGGGCTGCACAGCCCTCAATGTGCTTGCCAGAGGTAGCCTGACTTAGGTACCGAGATGAGATCCTCAGACCCCTTTTGAGACCATATGCTGGTGCGGTTGGCCCTGGGTTCCTCCTAATGCAAGACAATCCTAAACCTCATGAGGCTGGAGTGTGTCAGCAGTTCCTGCAAGACGAAGGCATTGATGCTATGGACTGGCCCGCCCCTTCCCCAGACCTGAATCCATTTGAGCACATCTGAGACATCATGTCTCGCTCCATCCACCAACGTCACGTTGCACCACAGACTGTCCAGGAGTTGGAAGATGCTTTAGTCCAGGTCTGGGAGGAGATCCCTCAGGAGACCATCCGCCACCTCATCAGGAGCATGCACAGGCGTTGTAGGGAGGTCATACAGGCACGTGGAGGCCACACACACTACTGAGCCTCATTTTGACTTGTTTTAAGGACATAACATCAAAGTTGGATCAGCCTGTAGTATGTTTTTCAACTTTAATTTTGAGTGTGACTCCAAATCCAGACCTCCGTGGGTTGAAAAATTTGATTTCCATTTTTTAATTTTTGTGTGATTTTGTTGTCAGCACATTCAACTATGTAAAAAACAAAGTATTTCAGAAGAATATTTAATTCATTCAGATCTAGGATGTGTTATTTTTGTGTTCCCTTTATTTTTTGAGCAATATATATATATATATATATATATATATATATATATATATATATATATATATATATATATATATATATATATGTAAAAAACAGATAAAATTCTTATCTTGTAATACCTTTTTTATTGGACTAACAGAGTTTTTTAATGACAAGCTTTCGGGAGAACCTCCCTTTCTCAAGTCTGAAGCATTTCTGAGCAAAACGACACATAGAATTCAAAGTTGAGTTGTGATACAGGGGTTAAAGCGACATGAGTGTAGATAAGACACAGGTTTGTTAGAAAATAGACACCATCTTAGCAGAGGGTCATAAATATCTTGTTGAAGAGAAGAGTAGGGGGGAGAGAGGGAAAAGAAAAACAAACAAGCAGACAGTGCACAGGATGATACACTTTATACATGCACACACACAGAAATATGTATATGTGAACGCATAAACACATGTATATATACATATACATAAACACATATACATACATGCACATGGACTCATATACACAAATATAAATGCATACGAGTATGGGAAAGCATAGGTCTACACATGGTACTTTGTATATAGATAGAATAAGCATATAGGAATGCATTTTAAAGTGTTGGTACACATGAACACTGGGAGAGTGTTCATGTAAAGTGTTGGTAGTGGGACAGGAATCCCAAATCAATATTTAGTACAATCTCTACATATACATATATATATATATTATATATATATATATATATATATATACATATATATACATACACACACACACACACACATACATACACACATACATTCACAATGCTGAATAAAATATTTTGCCTATACATTTGATTCTCTATAGATTGAGACATGATGTTTGGCATTATGAGAGGAGCACATATAAGGACTGAAAGGCACTATATTTGCTTTTTAACCCCTTAAGGACACATGACATGTGTGTCATGATTCCCTTTTATTCCTGAAGTTTGGTCCCTAAGGGGTTAAGGAACACTCCAGCCACCATTCCCACTCCAGTTCACTGTAGTGGCTTTGGTGCTAGGAGTGCCCCTGCCCTCCACTCTCTCAATTTTAAGTCGTCAAAATGTTTTAGAATGCATAACTTCTTACATGGAGTCTGCCGCATGCCACATCCCACCTACACTATTTCTGAAAATTAGATGAATCTTAACAGAAGCAGTAGCTTCCATTAGCTTTTCTGTGCTAACCCAGTGAAAGCTAGATCATTGGCGGAGTATCACCAGATTGCTCTTAACTAATGAGCTACGCCCTGCACTGCCAGGCTTAGCTCAGACTGGAGGCAGGTGACAGCATCCAGCAGAACCCAGGCAGGAAATTCAACTGTTCTAAAATGTTTTTACTCCTTACAATGGGACTAGGTGGAAGGCACAAGAGTCACTACGTTGCCAACTTTTAAAATGGATTATTTTTAGAATATTTTACACACAAGCATCAGATTCAGTTATAAAAACCTATTCCCTACAACTGTCATGGATAATGCCAGTTTCATTATAAACATAAAAAAAAAAAAGAATGGCAGTACCTCTCAATTAGTGTACTATTTCTTTCATGGACAATTTCCAACAAACCTCAAATATCTGTTGATGAAATGTATAATAAAAATGAGTAATGATCTATCCCAAAATTCACAACTGTGTTCAGTAACATTGCAACACATTTGATTACATGGTGGACAATAAAATGTTTAAGCCAATTCAAAATAACCTTGTTCAACTCTAGTGTGTAAGACAATCATACGACAATCATACTCCAGTATCTAGAGTCTATATGTTTAATACACACAGATTTATATACAAATACAAGGATAGAATTGAAGGACATTTTCACATAGTAAGTAATTGAAACAATAACAAGAGGAATGGGAAATTATAATCCTACAGGTCTGCCAGCTAAGACAAAATGGGACTAATCACACAAGGAAATGTAATCAACCCTGCCAATCCAATGACTGCGCATATGTGTAGTGTGGGCAAGTATAGTAACATGTTCACTGCCAAGAAAAGACACTTATTTAACTTATGCAACCTCTAGGTGGGCTAGACTAGACAAACATGACCTGGTGTCACAGTACAAAAATATATTACCAATTCGTGTAGTCAGCACTGGACAGGTTGTGAATACTGAATCAAAAAAATCTCACTGAGCAATTACATATCATTTAACTTTACGGTAAAGTTAAAGCATATATTCTTAAAGGAACACAAATGTGTATTCCTAACGTTATAGTGCCCAAGTCGGCCCCCCCACCAAGGGTAAAAAAAAAAAAATGGGAAGCCAAGTGCACATGAACAGCAAAACGCTATGCCAAATCAGATTGTGTCTATGGGACTGATTAAAATAGAGTTTCACTCTACTATATCGGCAGAAGTGCCAGTCAGTATGTCAGCCACTACAGGCATTTAAACCCCGCAATGTTCCTCCAGAATGGCGAAGTTTTACAGTGCAGGGTGAAACAAGAGTGACATGGCACCAAGACCACTTCATTTCGATTAAGTGGTTTGGGTTCCTAAAGCGTCCTTTTAAGGAGATCAAAAGGACACAGGCAGAAGCGGTTATGCTGCTTAGAGTCTGATTGCTGTCCCGTTATTCACTAAAGTGACCATTTGGGAATTCAAAGGGACTTTGAAAGGATTTTAAAATGTAATGTCTAACTAGAAGCATAACTGATTTGGCGATTTTTTTAAAGTTTGGCCTTAAACTTGAAATTCATTTTAAATTTCCATTAATTCTCATTTTGGTGAATAACCTTGAAAATGTTAAGAAGCAGGTTACTTATTTATTTAAACCAGAAACACCTCCTTGACTGCCTTAATAAAGCAGAAAGTGCAGTTTCGTGCTATCAATGTTCACGCCACACAACCTTAAAAGTAATCTATAGTGTCAGGAATAAAAATCTGTATTCCTGAAAACTATAGTGCGATCTTTCCATCTCTCCCTCTCACTTAGAAAGGGTTAAAAAAAGCCTTTATGCATCCAATTCCAGCGCTGATGTCACTGATGCCATCTGATGGGGGCACCTAATGCAAATGTGCCAGAGCACTTTAGGTTGATGAACGGTCCTTGGCAGTGGAGTGTCTTTTTAAGCCCATCACTATATTCATTTTGTTATTCCAAATACATAGAGATAAAGACTACTAATATGGATTCCACAGGCAGCCACTCCCAAATGACACAAGGTATGCCACAAACTTCATGGAGGTGGGTAGAGTGTTTACTTACTAAAACCATTTCTAAAAAAATAAAAAATAAATCAACACATTTGGAGGTGATGAACTAAACTTAACCCTTTGCGGTCCTATATCAGAATACATCAGACAAAATATTTTACCTTTTGTGGTCCAATGTCGGATTTTCCCTGGAAAGTGTGGCCATTCCTCCTTGCTGCGAATGTGCACAATGAGCAAAGGCTGGGAGGTACCAGCAAGAGGTAAAATATTTTGTCATATACAGTATATACCTACAGAGAGGGAGGGAAGGGAAGGAAAGAGAGTGCGTGTGTGTATGCACACACAAATATATATATATGTGTACAAAGGATCAGCGCTAATATACTAGATCTTACAGAGATAAATGTAAGGCAGCACACCTGAAAATAGGGCTCCCTCACAGGCCCTACAGAGTAAACAAAACTAAAAAAGGTGAAAGGGGAGGTGGCGCCACAGGTGAATTAAAATATAAATAAACCTGATTATAAACTATACAAGCACATATACAAGACACTATATAAGAGAAAATACATACAAGATAAAAAACCAAAAAGAGCTTGAAATATGGATAATGAATAATAATCAAGAGTTCAAAGATTAAGTCCAAAAGAGTCTATTCCTGATAAATGCAGCAAAAAAAAAAAAGTCTAATTAAAACCTTGTATAAGAAGTCAGTCACAACCTTGTCAGGGGAAGTATTCCTCAGTAATGTATGGACACGCCCAAGACGAGGTTCAAAAGATGCAGAGTCATTAGAAGAGGACAAAGGAACAAGGTTTATAAATACAAGGTCAAAACCACCAACCAAGAGGAAATGAATCCCATTTTTAATTTATCATCCAAAATCCTGACAAGTGCTCACAATCAAGTTCTATCCAAAGGACTCACATTTGTTCCTGCCTCTAAACCAGATGAATTCAAAATTGACATCGAACTTTTCAAGATGAATAGAACTCTGAGCATGCAAGCTTTACATAACACAGCGACACCAAGACCGGCTTCACAATTCAAATTGAAGAGTACATGGGAACCCAAAAATACACATCATTCTATCAAAACATTTTCCACCATCTTGAAAACAGATATGGATACAATACTTACTCAACAACAGAAGAAACCAGACAACTTAACCCGGGTTGAGAGGATCGCCCTTAAAGATCTAAGTGGTGATGATCAACTTGTAATTCGAGCGGCGGATAAAGGGGGAGCGGTTGTCTTGCAAGATTATACAGACTATAAGCAAGAAATTCTTACACAATTGTCTGACACCAAGACATACAGAAAATTAACATTTGATCCCACAACTAAGATCAGTAGTAAAATACAGTAGTGGATAAAATTAGGATTAACAGCGAAGTGGCTGGATTACAGTACAGCGGAATTTCTACTCAACACACACCCCAAAATCCCGATCTTATATACACTACCTAAGATACACAAGGATGCAAAAAAGCCACCTGGGAGACCGATTGTATCCACTCGTGGAGGATTGTTGGAACCGGTAGCCAAATATGTAGATTTCTTCTGCAAACCTACAGTTACCAGATTAAACACATGTTTAAGGGACACTCAAGATTTCCTTAACAAAATTACAAATTGTGAGCCAATCGACACCCAGTATATTTTTGCTACAGCAGATGTCAAGAATTTGTATACTGTGATCCCACATGCCATGGGCATAGAAGCAATGCGAACACTTCTTTCACAGTCAGACATCTATGAAGGACCTCCCATTGAATTTTTGTTGGAAGGTCTACAACTCACACTGTCCAATAATTATTTTCGTTTTGAAAAAAGTTTTTATATTCAAGAGACGGGGACAGCGATGGGATCTGCAATAGCTCCAACATATGCCAATAGTTTCATGTACGCATATGAAAATATGCATATTTTACCTAAATACAAGAAATACTTGATACAGTATCACAGGTTTGTGGACGACATTTTCATATTGTGGAAAGGCACGGTAGTAGAACTGGAGACCATGATTGATGAATTGAATAATCTGGATTCCACTATCAAACTAAGTCTGACTTATAGTACAGACAAAATCCAGTTTTTGGATGTTGAGATATACCGGAATGGCCCGAACATTGGATATCGGTTATACAGAAAGCCATCGGATCGCAATACACTTTTGCATGCGAACTTTTGCGTTCTCATCCTAAGGCCTTGAAAGATTCATTACCCATCTCTCAATATCTCAGGGTATTTAGAAATAACTCATATGACAACACCTGCAGGATTCAACTAGAAGATATGACCAGATCTTTTTTGGAACGGGGATACAAACACAACGTGTTACAGAGTTGCCGGTTAAAGGCTGAAAATATTTTTAAAGGAACATCAACTAAACAGTTACAAAGTATCCCAAAGATCACGATTCCTTTATTATTTCATTCAGAAAGCCAGAGGTTTTCTCAAAGGATCAAAAAAAAAGATGGGACATCCTTTCTGCAGATAGGACACTTAATCAGGTCTTTTCACAAAAACCACGAATTGCATTTTCACGCAATAGAAATTTGAAGGACATCTTGGTAAAAACTGACACTCCTAGTTGTTATAATTTCCAGACACACAATGTAAAGAAAGGTTGCTTCAAGTGCTCAGGTTGTGTCACCTGTGGGTACATGCTGACAGGATCCTCTTTCGCACACCCACATACAGGTAAAAGAATCCAGATAAAACATCGTCTAACCTGTATAAGTGATCATGTGGTGTATCTCATTTCATGCCCTTGTGGCAAATATTATGTAGGAAAGACGGATCTAACAGTGAGAGATCGTATCCGAGGCCACAGATCAGGATTCATGACAGCATATCGGGATGGAAAAACCGACAAGCCTGTGGCGAAGCATTTCCTTGAACTTCAACATCACTTACCCACCTTGAAATTTATTGTGATAGATCATATTCCACCGCTGATCAGAGGGGGCGATAGATCGAAGCTATTATTACAGAGAGAGACTTTCTGGATTAAACATTTGGACACAGTTCAACCGAAAGGACTTAATGAATATAATTCCTTTGGCTGTTTTTTGAACATTCGCTGATAATGTATACTGTGGGACTCATAGTTTCTAGATGAATTAGATTCACTCACGGGATGTTAGCTCGCATGATGGTCGTGTATAATTTGGATAAAATCTTTATTTGTGTCTATAGATTGTGATTCCATACTCGTTTATATTGAGGCGGTGGTTTGTGATTTCGGCAGCAGTCTGGTTCATTTTACATCTTCACTTTGGTTTAACACTGCATGTTAACATGACACTTGTGTTGTCACAATCACCTTTTTTTTGTTCTGCTTATTAGATCATTTAGGTCATTCTGGACCTACATCATTTACTATAACATGCTTATTTAGTCATTACATCCTTTTTTCACCTGCATACATTATAATTTTTCGTTGTATTTTTATTTTTCATATGTATTATAGCTACAGTTTTTAGCTTTCACAACACACTACACCTGTCTTAGACCAGTACATTTTTCTACCTCACAACACAGTCTTTCCACTATGAGTCTTCATGATCCAGCATATTTATACATATTAGTTTGTTGAGTAACATTTGGTTTTCGTTACACTGGTTACACATTGTATAATATTTTCGTATGGGGGTTGCATCACTATCATTTTCCTCATTCTGTTCACATAGCATTTTGTAGACCATCTTTACCTCAGCTTACTACTCTCTTATCAGTTCACCACACATTTCATTTTTCCGTTTCACATACATCTCCAGCAGCACGCATTTTTTGTTACATATTTAGTCTATTCAGATCACATAGACTTTTTTGATACAGTTCTTCTTTTTTCCATTTCATACACTATCGTACATCTCACACATTTAACTTCTTTGCAATTCTCCACACATTCACTGAGCTTTTTTTCATTTGTCTCATTTTTTTATTTTTATTTTTTTTTCTTCTCTTTATTCAGCATGCATACACACATTAACCTGTTCTGGTTATCCTTTGGCTAACCCGTTTTCATTCATACTGCTGTCTTTAACATTCCACACTCATATACATTTAAGACCATGTAATCAGACTTTATTTCTTTCTCCTCCATACATGCTTTTAATTTTACTCTGATTTTTTTCTCTTTTAAAACAACTTTGCCGTATTTAGGCAACACTTGGTGGCTGTGCTTTATGTCACTTTTCGGCAGTATGCTTGACAGTCCTCTGTTTGCGGCTCTATTCACAGAGCAGACCGGACAAACAGGGTGCACTTGGTGATTGGGTAAGTTTAACACATTAGATTGTATATATTTGAGATTTTCACATGTCATAGCATCTTGATAAAGACCGCTAGACGGTCGAAACGTTGATTTATATGCGTTTGATTTAATATATTTTTTTGTTTACTAAATCCAATGAGTGCTCTCAATTTGTTCCATTTGTATATTTTGCACAGAGAGGCACCTGGTCATTGCTGAATTAATGCTTTTGCTATGGGATGAGTGCCAGAAACTATTCTGATATGAAACTGTATTCTACTTCTTTGGTATTAAAACACTATAAATGGAAATGCAATATGGTGTTGTGATGGACAAGCCTGGTTATTCTTTAGACTTGTGCGGGAGTCAATCTCTCCCTAAAGGCCTAAAATTAATTCAACCACTCAACCCTGTACCTCTGCCATGCAGGAAATATGGAGGTGTAAAAAGCCCACAGGCTACCATCCAAAAGACCCAGGATGCTATCTAGGCTCACACAGAGCAGCCAATTAGAAGTTACCAAGAAACACCATGGGACTGTGCAACGGATCTGCGATATACTATGGACCGGTGAAAATTCACTTGGGTATTGCTCGGTCCCACTATCAAACATGGCACTATTTGGAGGACGAAATCAGGGAGGTTATGAAAGATCAAACTGCATCCAGGATTTGTAGGAGCTCCGTTCTCTAGAGCCACAGGCAGCCCATATCAGCGACCAGGACTTACCACTAAACATCGTGGAACTCTCTGCCAGATTGGAGAATGGTCATGGTCGGGTCAAATTTCATCCAGTGATTGCTGGGGCAAGACACTTCCGATCTGAGCGTTTTTTGGGGGTGGGGGGGGTTTATAGTTTGCCCCTTGGAAACAGAGCTCTCTGGCATGTATGACGTGGGGATATCATGCAGGGAACGCTTGCTTTGGGGGAATTTGTCTGGTAATTGATTAAAATTATTAAGCTGCTGATTAAATTATGTCCCCAAACACCAAGGCGTCAGAGTGGGATTACATTGTGTGCCTTGATGACCCAGAAAATGCTGAATAAAAATGGTATCTGCTTTACCTTTCATCAAGCCTTTGGCGGATGTTTTGGAATCTAGCTACTCTTACTATTCTGGAGAGAGGGAATACTTGGCGAAAATACTCAGTTGGGGTATCGGAGCTCTATCACAGGTGTCAAACTTTTTATTGCTAGATATTTCAAGTTTTCTCAGAACAACTCTCAAAAACAAGAAGTTGATGTTACATGGCAATGATACAGTAATGGAAATGAATACAAAATAAATTCAAAGATGATACATTCAACTTCGGTCCACCTCAATTAATGTTGGGTGCTCAGAGCAGACCCCTCTCATTACTCACGGACAGGTTGTATTTTATCATTTTACCTTTAAATTGACTAAGGTATGAATATCATCTAAATTGCAGCCAAATGGGGATTACACGAACGAGACATGAAATTGACCAATACAGCTATTCACTAACTGTAATTTTGGTTATTTCCACCAAGTTTGATCAAACGTTTGCTAAATTTAGTAGATATTTGGTTAAATTGAATTTAAGCTTTTAGGTCTCTAAACTCATATATTCACATAACCGACTCAACTAAATTGCAGACCAAATTAATACATTCTGGAAAAAGAAAATTTGCTCCTTAAGTAGTGAATTGCACATATCCCGTCCTTTTGCTCTCTATGGGATGAATGGTGATTTTGGGATAAATAACAGTGCAGTGCCATAGTGCTGTTTTTCAGCATTCTGAATAGGTAACTGATGTTTTCAAAAGGGTTATTTCCATTGGGCCATTCATTTAAAAAAAAATATATATATATATATATATATATATATATATATATATATATATATATATATATATATTTGTAAGGATTGCCTAATTGGGCTAATTATAATTTCTGCCCCTCTTTGAAGATTTCTGTAGTGACGTCTTCACCTTTTTTTTTTTTTTTGCCATCTTCAATTGCTTGAGCATGTGTTCCTATACCTGTGTTAAAGCATGCAGTTATCTTTGTTAAAACAGGTAGTTTGATATGTTTAAGCATAAAATAATCTATTGTATTTAGAGTTTAAAAGGTTTAATAAAGTCACCTCTACATTTGAATGGTAGTGTATTTTTATAGGGGTGAATCTATCAAACTGATTTCAGGTGAAATAGCGAGAGAATTAACAAATCTACGCCAAGGCAGATAATTGGAAGTACGTGTTGAAATGGATAACCCTTTGAAAACAGTTACTTGTTCAAAATTTATTTTGGTTCATTCATTCTAAGGTTTGACCAGGGTTCACTGCCTAAATAATTAAAACACCCATTATGATATTAAATAATTTTATGCATGGAGTTCCCCCTTACTCTCCCATGTTGTCATTTTTGAAATTTGGCTTGTATTGCACTCAAACATATCCGTTCAATTTAAATTATAAACAGAGCTCATTCCGAATATCAAACCAACTTCAGCCTTGTAATCAGTTTTTCACTGTCTAGTGAACAAAGCCCTTAGCTTAAAACACAACACAGTAAACAAGGCAATGTGGTAAATTTAAAATCAAACTGAAAAAGGTCAAAATGGTTGAGCTAAAAAATATATATATATATATATATATATATATATATATATATATATATATATATAACATCTGCAACTCACCTATTATAGTTTATAATACAACAGTGCCTTTCACAACTAGATCACCTGTTATAGTCACAGCTTTTTAAAGCAATTTGATTTTCAATTCACTTCAATTTGATGTAAATTTTAGTAAACATAAATCTTACAAGGTTATTCACTAAACTGTTGATTGTCAGGAATTTGCTGTGAATTCCAAAATTTTCAATTGACTTTGAATTCTCCTCAGGTCGAATTTCAATAAATAAACGGCAGGGGCCATGTTTAGTCGTATACAAGAACACATTCAAATTACAAAGTACAAGTTGCATAGACTCCAATCTTAGAATTCATCTTCAATCTCCTACTTTCTACTATTTCTCTGTGAAAAGCTAAAGCTCACCTTTTTTTCCCCTACAAAAATAATCACACATTAAAGGCATGTTTTGGTTTTGTTCTGTTTTCCTATTTAAAACAAGAAATGTTAGTTTACTGTTCAAGTAGAGAGAGACTGGATTTACTTCGTGTGTTCGTGTATACCTTACAAAACACCTAACACTTGAATGATTAAGGTTTAACTTCTTGATTATTAATAGAGGAAATAATCATATGCTACACAATACACACACACACTTGTGTGATCTTACACAATAAAGACATATACAATATTAAATCTACCAATTTCTTTACTGCATTTCTTTCACAAAACCAAAATCAACTCTGAATTCGTTACAAGCAATGGAAAAGTGGCATAATTAACACACCCATACACAAACACAGGGAACTTGATGCTTGTGACGAATTGTGAAACACACAGAAATGTGATCTGGTCTACCATGACACAGCTCCTCTGAGCTACACAGCAATGAAACAGCTCAGCACCAACAGGAGAATAGCAACAAGTCACAGACAGTAACTGCAACTAGGAATACGAAGAAATCCAAAGATACTTACACAGCTGAGCAAGGAGCACACTCCCAGACAAGCGCCCATGATGGGGAGCTATACAGTATAGAACACTCGATACTTTCCGCCAGCAGGATTCTAATAGCTCCGCCCACTCTTTACCTTTCAGGCTCCGTGCTAGATTGCCTTTCTTAGAGACAAGTCTGTTCTTCGGAAATTTCCGTCAATCTCCGACTCTTTTCGTCAAATCTGGCTTAAATTAGACTTCCATATAAAATACGCAATCTATCAAATGTGCACTTATGTTTTAAGATGAACAATGTCTTATTTATCTATATTATAAGACTGAAATATAATATATAAACACTAAAATACAAGACATAAAATAAAAGGAAAAAAACTGGAATAAAAAATACTAAATAGAGAGTCATATATTCGTGTATGGTAAACTATAAAACATGAAGAACAATATATTATCTGCTTATTTTTTCATAGATTATTTTATTTTATTTTTTTGAAAGTTTATAATAATGTGCTGAAATGTTACATTGAAACAGGTAAATCTCTTTCCACAGAATTAGTTGTTATAGTGAGATTATTTTTTTTATAAAACTTGTGATGACGCTTTAAAGTGAATTTCAAGTTTTAGGCCAAAATTGCCAAACTGGAAGCCAAAGTGAATGTATCCGATTCGGCTATTTTGGTCTAAAATATGAAATCTACTTTGAATTTGATACGATTCATACTATACAGAGTTTTTATTATGATTATTGGCAATCATATAGCGCCAACTTATTCCACAGCGCTTTACAATGTTATAAACATTTGTATTTTATAAAATTATAAAATAGATGAGACAATATCAAAATGTTACAGGAACCATAGAGCTTACAATCTACAGTTATTTACTAAACTTCAATTTTTAGAGACGACCAAACGGCAAATTTAGGCAAAAATAGCTGATCTGGAAAACTTCTCCAAGTCAGCTATAGTCGGGGCTTGGCTATTTTAGCCTATATTTTGCAATTCAGACATCAATTCATTACAATCTGGAGTTTAGTGAAAACCGTGAATTTGGACATGGGCTTTTAGTTGAAGGAAACCATTTAGGGAGTGGAAGAGGTAATTATATCATGTGAAATATGACTCATGACTCAAAAGCAAAGATTAGATAAATATAAGGTATGTTTATTCACTGAACAGTGAGTTGTTTCAAGGGAATGTAATAATGTTGGGCAAAATAGCTGAACAGGAAGAACAGCTGAGTTGGGAGAATGTGTTGAATTTGCATTTCTCTTTTCAGTTCTATTAACTGAAAAAACAGTGCTTAAAGTAGCTGTAGTTATTATAGTGCTCAGTGTCCCCTGGTGGTGTAGGGAGTGAAACTAGTTTCAAACAGTTTAAAGCAACACTATGACGTTAGGATTACATACATATATTCCCAACACTGTAGAGTTCCCCTATCTATTTAGGGGTACCCCCTCTCGTGAGGGCTTGAATGGCGAGTTTGACTTATCTTCCAGCCCTTGTCGCATGGGTTTAGCCGCGGCAGCTCCTTCTTCCTGAATGAGATTATTATGATTGATGATCTCAGTCAATCCAATGCTTCTCCACAGGGTAGCATCTGGTGACTGGTGCACATATGCGACAAATGGCGCCTCTTCAACAATCAAATGCTGTTCTAGGAGCACCACTTGATTGAGAACCAAGTCTGATTCGGTTCTCACATGAAAGCGTCTCCAGTGGCTGTCACCAAAATATAGAAACATTGTACAGCTTAGTTGATAAGGGCCACTTGTGAAACTGTCAAGAAATTTAATGACGAGTTTGAATAGAGTTTGACTCCCAAAACAACCGGGGAACACTGAGCACTACAATCACTACAGCTAACCTTTAAAGGACCACTATAGTGCCAGGAAAACATACTCGTTTTCCTGGCACTATAGTGCCCTGAGGGTGCCGGCAAGAGCCGCGCGCGTATTCAGCCAGTCTCATAGCAAAGCATTTACAATGCTTTCCTATGGACGCTGGCGTCTTCTCACTGTGAAAATCACAATGAGAAGCACGCAAGCGCCTCTAGCGGCTGTCAAGAGACAGGATGTCAAGAGGCTGGATTAACCCTAACATAAACATAGCAGTTTCTCTGAAACTGCTATGTTTATAGAAAAAAGGGTTAACCCTAGCTGGACCTGGCACCCAGACCACTTCATTAAGCTGAAGTGGTCTGGGTTCCTATAGTGGTCCTTTAAGCACTGTTTTGTTTTCCCTCGAAACAGAATCGAGAAGGGAAATGCACATTTTAAACATTCTCCCAACTCAGCTGTTTTTCCTGTTCAGCTATTTTGCCCAACATTATTAAATTCCCATTGAAACTTGACAACTCACTGTTTTGCAATGTGCAATGGGAAAAGATAGAATTTCTATGTACACATTTTTCATGATGCTCATCCAGCAGTGCAGGGAATATCAGAGGAGCATTGATAAAGGAGAATGGTAATTAAACCATGCAAACAGGAAGCAACCAGGAATCACAGACCCTTGGCTCACCCCTGGCAGTACTTAAAGGAACATTCCAACCACCATAACCACAACAGTGTGCTGTAGTGGTTATGGTGTCAGGAGTGCATGACTATTCCCTCCCATTATTGAAAGTAGCCAATCAATTCTAGAGCTGGGGTCTGGGGTCTTCCAGGCTCTACTACAGCCAAAAGAGAGCCAGAAAAGCAGTGCTAGCACATTGGATAAGAATTCAGCTGATCCTGTGGGTTGCAGCGGAGGCAGGGAACAGCACTCATGGGACTCTTGGTAAGAAGTCAAACTATTGTAAAATAGTTTGAGTACTTACATTGGGGGACACCAGGGCACTCCTGGCACCATAACCACTATAAATGTAAAACTGGTGACAAGCTAAATATTATTTTTTCTATTTTACTAACACATTATTACATAGCTCCTCATCCATCCCTTGGCTTTGTACATTACTTGCTAATCAATGAATGGTCTCTCTCATCTCAGTTTGCAGATGCCATCCACGTCTCACAAAAACTCTGCATCGTCTTAGTTTCACAAAGACTATGAGCACAAAGAGCAATGCTGGTTAGCATGCCAATATGGGAGTGTGCAGAAAGCCTTTAAATACCAACCCCTTTCAAAGTCCACCATTAACTTAGTTAACATTCCTAAACATTTCTCACTCTTAAACATATTCATTAACTTTCTTTTCATTTCATTCCTATCCATTGGCAGTTTTTTCAGTAAAGTAAGCTCTCCATCTTTTTTTGGTTTATGATTTTCTGCAGGAATAAGTAAAAAGGTCACTGCATATATGCCTTATAAAGAGTGCAAGGGTATGACCAACAATGTTATCTAGTACTATGAATTATTGGAATGGAAGAGAATTGAGCAGTGAGATTGTTTGGGCATGATCTATACACCAAGACTGCTTCATTAAGCAAAAGTTGTTTTGGTGACTATAATGTCCCTTTAACTATTTGTGACTGGGGGTCGGTGCCTGACTACTGAGCAAGTTGGTTGCACATTGGAGGGGCTCCTGTGATTGTACATGAAACTAAGCCCATATTGTAAGCTGATTCACTATCTTTGGCTACTTTTCACCAATTTATCAGTCCAGGGAACACCCTGATTTGACTTTGGAAAGATTTTTCCTCTAATAGTTGATGCCTGCTTTGAACAGCTCCTCCTTTTATTTGGACTCTGGATAGACGTGGGTTATCTTAGTCCCTGCTGGAGTGGGCTTTCATACTTACCTACAAGCCTCTTGCTTCCCAGCTCAGGTCCAGCAGCGGCCTGACTATCAAAATGGCGGCCACCTACAGGCCTACTCCACAGAGCTCCTCACTGCAGCAAAGTCTGCAAATGAATATGCTTGAATTTGCTCTCAGCTTAAATGTAACAGTGTAACGGGTTCCACACAGACGTATCTTCGCTTGGTCCCTAAGATATGTCTTGACTTGAACCTCTTCAGTCTACTGGGTCAGAAGCCTGAGGGAACTTACTCCCCTGGCTGAGGCCAACAAGGTAACTTTTCCCTTTTACATTTATCCCTACTCTGGGAATAGTTTGATTTCATTTTGTTTGAGTCTTACCAGGACGTCCACAATTTCCTTTTTCGACCAACAATTTCCTCGAGTTCAGAATGGTTTGAGGATCCTTTATCTTTAGCTGATGTTACTTTTAAGCCTTACAATGTTTGTTTATGTTATTATTTTTCTAGTTATTGCAATATTCCATAGACAGTATAGTATCGCGATAATCTCTTTATTTAAATATCTACTATCTATCTAATATCAAGTATTATCTACTTTCCTTCAGTGTTTTTTTTTTTTATTTGCTCCAATTACAAAATGGGATCTCATCTACCGGATTTATTTATACAATATACTATGTATGATAACCCGCATTATGTTCTGTCGTATACTGGTACTATTTGTGGATTGTGAAATGCTATCAAATCAATAAAAAAATTATTGACAAAAAAAAAATATGTATGACTACAATTGTTTTTAATACTACTTTCTGATAATTAAAGGACCACTATAGTGCCAGGAAAACATACTCGTTTTCCTGGCACTATAGTGCCCTGAGGGTGCCCCCACCCTCAGGGACCCCCTCCCGCCCGGCTCTGGAAAGGGGAAAGGGGTTAAAACTTACCTTTTTCCTTAAGGGAGGCTCTCTGCCTCCTCTCCTCCTCCCGTTCGCCCCGCGTGAATCGCGCAGCGGCAAGGCTCTTGTGGCGCGTTCGGCGATAATGCTAGAAAGCATTTACAATGCTTTCCTATGAACGCAGCGTGCTTGTGAAAATGGTAGAGGCATAAAAAGCGCCTCTAGTGGCTGTCAATGAGACAGCCACTAGAGGGAATAGGGGAAGGCTTAACCCATTGATAAACATAGCAGTTTCTCTGAAACTGCTATGTTTATTAAAAAATGGGTTAACCCTAGCTGGACCTGGCACCCAGACCACTTCATTAAGCTGAAGTGGTCTGGGTGCCTAGAGTGGTCCTTTAAGATTTCATCTTCTGAATTTATTTATATTTTTCCTTACTTAGATTCAATGTAGGCTTTTTGTGCTACAAAAAGCCTCCTGCTTTTCAAACAATTCACAACAGCAGCTGCACTTCAGTTG